TATTAAATTAATTGATATGGAAGAACTTGAAAATGAGGTTAAAATCAGATTAGTGGGTGGTAGTAAGAGACCAGGAGAAAGAGAGTGTGATGTCATCAACATTTACATTTGTAAACATAACCTTGTAATATTTTGTACAATTACATAAGGACCTCAACATTTTAGCTGTGCATGTGGGACATTGACACTCGTTTAAATTGCAGTTAAAATGCATTTGCCTTCAATGCTTCGATTTGAAAGCCATATATTCATTCAATTTTTTTTTACAAACGCTTAAGTAATTACATTCTGATTACAGGCAGGGATTAGTAAATGTAAATAATGATCAAGTTTCTAGCCACTGTGTCCATTTCTACGCCAGTCCCTCAAATACAGACATAAACACAGTAGAAATATCAAGAGTACAGTTTGAATGTGTGTTCTGTATCCCCTCCGACAAGATGAATGTGTACAATGTGAGCCGACTTGTAAACTTGTTTGTATTTGGGTGTTTTTAAGCTTCCACTTTGCATCCACACTTGCCGTGACTGATGTTTAATTTAGTTTCTAATGGATGTCGTTGGTTTTTTTCATTTGAAGAGCACGAGAAGCACAGGCAGTGTAAGAGTGCAGACTACATGAATCTGCACTTCAAAGTGAAATGGCTTTACAATGAGTATGTAAAGGACCTGCCAGCTTCAAAAGAGAAAGTTCCAGAATACTCTGCGTAAGTTCCATAATGATCGTTCTCAACACCATCCATTTTTCAATCAATGTATTGATGCAGGCCTCCCTGGTCAAGGTTTTGTACATCTGTAAGATCCCTCATTTCCGAATGTACCCTGCTTTTATTCCATTAGTTTTTTCGTATGTGTTTTGCTTAGTTTGCTCCCATTCCACTTTTATTGACCTGTCTTTTTGAAGGTTCATATGATGTCCCACATGGTTTTTCAATAATTTAGCATTGTTTTACTTTCTAGTCATTACACGTATGTGTTTGTATTATTTTACAGTGGATTTTGTAATATTTTGTCATCAGATACACTTCATTCCACGTGATATGTGATTCATGGGGTTGATGGTACACCTTTAAAATAGAACGTTATCTTAATTAATTACACAAGTCAGCACTTGGTATAGCCAGTACCTTATCAATCGCTCTATATGGAATGTTAACCATGGTTATTTTTAAAAATACAATGTTTCTTTTGTCAGGTGACCGTTAACTGTAATTAGATAGCCATATCAGCTCAGGCTGACCACAATATAGCAGTCCATGGGTACATTCACCTATGGCCAGCGTTACTGCTGTGAACGCTGTTGGAGTATTTTAATATATATTGGTTGCTTTTTGCTTTACTGTTGCTAACATTTCTGAATCGTTTTATTTGTTCATATTTAAATAAATAGATCACATCAAAATGAACACAAGAAGTGCTGACACATTGCAAATCATAAGAGTCCTGCTGAGTGCTGCTGATTTGGGAAACAATTGAAATCAGAATAATTTGATCATCAAGCTGTGCTGCAGTGATTCGTGTGCATGTCTCGTGACCTGTGTCACCACTTGTGCAACCAAAAATTGGACAATGACATTTTCCTAGAAATGTAATTTTTTTTGGGCAGAGAAGTTTCTCATATTGCCAAAGGGGGCATGACTTGCAACAAAAGCACCACCTTCCTCACGGCGTTAAAATTGTTATGCCCTATCGTCATCATCATTATAATTTAACTTATACAGAATTTAATACTACACGCATCTCAAGACAATGCACAGGGAAACAATTTAAACATAAACATCATATACAATATAAATAATAAGACCTTACAAGAAGTTGAATCGCGCAAATGGAGTGGCAGAACACATCACTCCGTACACTGTCGCCTCCAACTGCCAGAACCACGTGCAGACGGTGAATTGTCCTGCAATGTGAACTGAGTATCGCAATAACATAGACAAGTTGCAAGACCGTGCTTTTTCCTTATTCACAGGGAAGTGTTCCATCGTTATCGATGGTGGCAGACTTTTGAGAAAGGCAGTCACAACAACCATTTTGTTACTATAATCATTATTATTTGTCATCTCATTCTTATTTTTTTTATGATCATCTTTACGTAACAATGTGTTTTGATATTTGTTGATGTTTTTTGTTCTCTGCAATGGATGTTCTGGTAACATCCAAATGTTTTACCCCACAGCGGTCTTCGTTTATATAGAAAATCATGCTTTAAATGTGTTGAGGGTAACTTAAGAACCTCTGTCAATCAGATGAAAGTGTGGTGCCCCTTGGATCCTCTGTAAGTCTGTGCAGCATTACAGGCAATGCGTGCAATTCAACAAAGGGGAAAAGGTGTGATATCCACGAACGGCACAGAATGGTTTTGGCCATGTTCACTCCACAAATTATGAAGAAAATAATCATTTGGAAACCTTTTCCAATCAATTCCTGGATGAAGGCTTCCCCATGTCGTGTTGGTCGTTGGGGGTTGTTTGATCGTTCTTCATCACGCTGGCACGCTGGTCAGCGCAGGTTCGCTAAGCGGAGGCCAGGACTAATACGGAAATCATGATGTTAGCCATGATGTGGGTATTGAACTCCAGGTTACTCATCATGTGGCACTAACCACTGTGCCACAACCTTTGTGACATTCATTTTGCTTTTTTGTCAGTTTCACAGCGAAGTGCTTGTGATTACTTTATAAAGTGAAAGGATGAGATTAAGCTAAAAAAAATAGATACATTTGTTTAAGAGTTTCCACAACACCAACACATGATGAAGCATGGGCATCACAGTAGACTACGAGGAAGCGCAAGGACCCATAACCAAAGCACAGAAACTTCCATACGAAGAAAGGAAAAAAAGTTGTACTGTCATGGGAGTGTTGGGTGTGTACAATTGGATGGATATAGTTCAGCCTTTGTTATAAAAGTGTTGCATGGCAAAAATAGTTTTCTCTACTGGGTGGAAAGCAGCATGAAAACCCAGGCTGAATCATGTGTTTTCTCCACGGCAGACACACCACTTATGTGGAAAACTAAATCCTGCTGGCAAAAATAAACGCTTGGACAAAAATAGTTTGTGTGTGGAAAAAAGTGTTTAGCTTTGTCTGTGTGGGATCTCACCTTTTCATGAAGGTTATTGATTGACTTATATACGATGAATGCTCGTTTCTTCCAAAGCCCTTTTTATGTGTGGAACATAATTAGATTGTTAAATGTCATGTGGTGCTGTGTGTCGATGTTGTAGGTGGTTTGAGCCATTTGTACTGCAGTGGTTGGATGAAAATGAAGAGGTCTCATTGGAATTTCTGCGAGGGCGCTCTGGACCGAGACAAGAAGGATGGGGTAGGCTAATCCATATATTTTTCAAGAAAAAGCATACGTATATAGTTCAGGGCAATCAAACTATATATACACATCTTAAATAATACCTATCACCTCGAAATTTATATATTAACTCTAAGTGAAAATCTTAACCTCTCTGCTTGGTTTGAGATTATAAAGTATTAAGTTTACTAATATCACCATCAGCCGTTGTCTATCCTCAGTTGGACAAATACCTCTTGCTTTCACCATCCTTCACTTTCCTGCGGTGCTACAATCCACCTCACTCCTACACGTGAACTGATCTCATTACTACATTCATGTGATGGCCGTGCTCTTATAAACACATTATCTTCTTTCACTATCTTTCTATCACCAGTCTCATCCATTATCCATAAGTCACGTGCCCTGCTCAAGCCCACTTAATTTGTTCAACATTCAACATTGTGACTGTGACTTGTGTTTGTTATTTTAATCCAGTGTTCCTTTTCATATTTTCGTGTAATTCCAAGCGTGTGTTTACCCATGATTTTGTGCCCAATTGTCAACTTTTATTCAATTTTAATTGCATTTGTCCAAGTTTCTGATCCATACTTCATAGGTAGCGATATTCAGTTATTACAACAACAACGCATCCTGTTCAGGCTCAATGGTTTGCTGCCATTCATTATTCATTTCAGTTTTCCAAAACAATTCTATCCTGCTTTTGTTCTTATTATATTGATGACAATCCAATGTCAATTATTGCTATAGCTATTATAAATCTACTGCTTTGTTTTAAATTGTTTCCCTGATTTATTATTGTACGTGACTCGTTTAGCGTTTATTTTTTTCAGGCTCATTTCACTGCCTTCTTTCTTGAACCATTCCTTGTTATTTATTTAATTGGTTCTTATAACTGCCATTATCGACTCTGAGATGGTGAATACTTAATCGATTTATGATTATGCCGTCATTTTTCCAGTCCCATTGTTGTAAAATATATTCTGTTAATCTATTTTGTTATTTATCATTTTAGCAATTCACTCATTTTATACATTTCTGAAACAACAAAAAAACATGGCTGAACAAAGCCCGTAAATCCATGGGACTCTTTAACATATATTTTAAGCCACTTGTTGATGACACCCAATAACAGCACATTTGTCCGCGATTACTGGAATAAAGCACAATTATCTCCACGTAACCAATGATATAGGTGTTGGATGGGCTTTAGTTTGTTTGTGATCAGCACGTACAGAGAACCCATTCCCTCATTGTCCCCTTGCTGCTGTCCCTTATCTCTGAACTCCACTCACTGCCACGCCTTCCCTCATTTCCACACATCCTCAGCACCATTCCCACCAATGCCCCCTCTCGCTCACACTTAGTATACCTATCGTCTGTCGTTAATAAAACATCTTTACTTGTTAAAAACATTTATTAGCTACAAAAAGTAAACCACAAATTCAAAGGATTAATAAAACGTCACAATATGACTAAAGCGGAAGTTGAACGGTGCAACTAATATGCATCCTATTTCTTGCTTGTCTTCTGCAATACAGTTTAACGCTATTGAACCAATCCAGTGTATCGCATACCATACCCTTCACTATAACATATTCACGTGGCATCAATCAACAAAAAAATCACATGCAATAACCACAGCATTGCTTAGCACTGCACATATAACATTTACGCAGGAAAAAATAAACAGTTTTTGAAATAGTAGTATGAGTGGGGCGAGAGAAGTTTACTACATGACTACTCCTTGGTTTGGCTTTCCATAGGCTGTATCAGAGCCATTATATTCAACCCTCAGGGTAGTGAATACATGACAAGTTACCAAATGTAAAATGGAACACATTGAGTACATTAATTACGGAACTTTGTACAATGGTTTGGTGGTGGAGGAGACCTGGTATTGATCTCCTGTGAGGTTGTTTGCAGCCCCCAGGCTTAGAGCTGCCTCAACGATGAGCCTTTCACATGTACTCGTCGTGTCAACTGAAATAATGTCAACATGGTAAAGCCTACTACACATGGTGCAATGCCTATGCGTTACAATGCAGGAAAGAATGGAACCACCCACCTTGCTTCCCATTAGTTGCAACCCCTCCAGTGTCAATGCCATCCACATCACACATTATGACAGTGATGACACCAGACCCAAAAGCACGTTCATGTTGGTGTACCGGGCGAGGCGACCCCGAGTTGATGTGAGCTCACGCCGCATTGCCGAGTTACCACAGCGTGTGCACCATGCCTTACAACAGCCACTAAGTGACAGTGATATCACCACAGCGCTTGTGCCAGGCTAGATGCACTTTTAACCGTCACGTGAGTGTCAAAGGCTCGCTAGCAGGAGGCCACGGCACACAGGCCCAGGTGCTATGGGTTGACTGAGATGACTGGCAGATTCACAACCTGTGCTCCCCACTGTGCCAGCTTGATGTATTTTAACTGCCTGGCACTCCGCTAATTGTTGTGCCAGGCAGTTAAAATACAGCAAGCTGGCACAGTGGGGAGCACAGGTTGTGAATCTGCCAGTCATCTCAGTCAACCCATAGCACCTGGGCCTGTGTGCCGTGGCCTCCTGCTAGCGAGCCTTTGTTATTTGTTGGAGGGCATCTGCCTCTTAACTGCCCAGTAACATCCTTCACGAGACTCCTCAGAAGCCAAACTTGGCACCGCTGGTAACAGTCATTGGAAAGTCCAATGAGCTTGCATATCCTTCTCAGACCACCTTTTCTCGAGCTTGTGCTGCAAAAGTTTAGCTCTCTCTATCTGGCCAAACAGAAGCGTCTCGGACATGTGGTGGCTGGGGATGAGGGCTAAATGACCCAGCCAAAGCAGCCTCGCCGCCGGGGCATCTCACTGATGAGACTTTGTAGATATACTTCAGGGATTTGTGACCTACTCACGCAATCCAGTCTGGTTATACCCACAATGGATTGTAGGCAGGCCAGCATGAATGCTTCACACCAGAGAAAATGTTCCCTTTAAAGGGGTCCACATTTTGCAAGCATGGAGAACGAAGGACATAACTGTGGCTGAGAAGACCCAGAGCTTCGTATGGAACGAAGGCCAGGTAGCTTTCATACAGCATTACGCAGCTGATGAAAAGATAATGCTGCTCGACTGATTCGGAATGATACCTCTGAAAAATGCAGAACTCAGACAAATGCACATGCATCACATTCTTAGTTAGTCCATTACCTTGTTACTTTACCTATCAGTGTAGTCTTCTTCTCACACTTCAGATGTAGTTTATACAATATATACAGCACATAGACTATATACTGGATTATATTTACAGAATATACATACTATACTAGAATTTATACTGCACATTATTTATTATAAATACAGTATATTTAGAGTATAAAGTGTACGGTTATATTCTGCATGTGATATACATGCAGTGTATATCGTAATTCGATATATATCGTGTTCTTTTGTATTTTATATATATATATTGTAGGCTTCTATATATTTTCATGTACATCCAGTACAGTATTTAGCACCTATGTGAGCCTCTTCACTGCAGTGCTCGAGTTGACATGGGCCGTGTGACTTGATTTCTTCCACCCCTCTAAGGGGTAAGGGTGGCAGGGGGAACTCAAGTCTACACGTTATGCCCACATAACCTCTTCACATGGAATTCACGGCGACATCCTGTGCATGTAAAAGGTCCTCACTAGACAAAGCATTGAGCAGACTGAACGACAGAGAAACGTGGAGAAAAAGAGAAGCAGAGAGACACGGTACAGAAATATGAAGCGAGAGAGATGGCAACATAGTGAGAGACACAAATATACACAGAAACAGAGAGCATGTCTGTATGTATAAACATATTTCGCGCCGTACGTAGCCAACCACGTTAATCGGAGGTGTATACGCAAGAGACAGAGATGCAGAGGAAGACATGGCATGGAGAGACAGATAACTACACAGTGGCATGTAGACACAGAAAGAGATATGGGGCGAATTAGAATCATGGAGAGATACCTGGAGATGGGGAGAGAGCAGCACATATATACCCAGACGTAGAGAGAGACCGGGAGATGCAATTACGGCCCCTGGGCTGCATGTGGTCTTGTATAAACTCAGCAAAAGACAGAGATACACAGAGAAAGGTATACATAGATACAAACAGAGAATCGGAGAGACAGAGATGACATAGGCACATAGATATGCACAGAAAGATATTACCACAGAGAGATGTGCAAAGAGACACATATCTGGACAGGGTTAACACAGAGAAACACACACAAATGCATATACACAGAGACACGGAAATACATGGATAATAAATGCAGAGAGAGAGAAATTGAGAGAGACACCCAGAGGCACAACAGGGTTATACAATTGCAATCCCCAGGCTACTTGGCCTTTGTAGATATGGAGTCACTGAGCAAAACACACAAACACATTACAGAGAGAACCATGCAGACAGAGAGAAGAGATATGTATGCAGAAACATGAAAACACAATGAGAGACACGGAGAGAGAGAGAGATACACAGATATACTTGCACATAGAGAGAGGCATGGAGACACACAGAGAGCAACACATTAAATCTTGAATACGATTATACAGAAACATGTGGAGAGAAATGCCCAGAAAGGTTTTCTAGAGGCCTGGGGCAAACTGCCAGATGGGGCCCCCTCTGAGGATTCATAAACCATTTCTGAGACTCCTTTAAATTTGAGGCTCAGATGTTAATATGTATTAAATACAATCAAATCAAATACTTGTACATTATCATCCTTCAATAGCAATACTTTATTGCTGATTTCATTACAAGATGCCCCGCAGTGTTTTCTAACCTGGGACTTTTGCAATCCAGAGGCGTATAATTTTATGGGCATCAAATTTTTATCAAATCACGTTAAAAAAAAATCTTATTCAATCTGGTTCCACTCCAAAGTGTAGGCACAGGCTTAGTATTCACATAATACGATGCATACATGGGTGGTTAACACTCCTGAACACAACACAGGCAAGGGAGGGCCAGACATTAACCCCTGCCCTACAATATTTCAGCCATGAACCAGCCCCAACAAAAACTTGGAGGGAAGGGAATTAGGCAAGAACTGGCACTTAGGCTGTGAAAACCATAGAAATGGTAGGGAATTTGATAAATTTATATATACGTATAGAAATAGAAATCATTTGCGCAACAAACTAAAAAGAGTTAACTTTTTAACACAATAACAGTTCATTTGATACATTTTCACGAATAAACATCTGCACATGTCCACATACAAAAAATGTCCACCATTTTGATCTTTGCTTTAATTATCAGGACAACCCCATCAGTCTCTTGTGACCTAATCCAGGCAATCACACCAGTCGAATTTGAAGTTTTAAAAGGTTTAAATATACTATGGGAACCTCATTTGCCAGTAAAAATATGATTATTGGTTTTTTACCCTTCTATCTGGCAACAAAACTGACAACTTTTTACAAGGAGTCATGTTTGCATAGACCACAATACCTGCAGTCATAATACAAACAAAAGAACATAACTCTGATAATGTGCACTGTCCTTGAAGTTGATTGGTCCACACCCGAGACAGCTTTCCTTAGAGCCTAGTCTCACATGGTGTTGGACCTTTTGGCGTCATCTGGTCCAACACCATGTGAGACTAGACTCTAAGGAAAGCTGTCTTGGGTGTGGACCAATCAACTTCAAGGGCAGTGCACATTATCAGAGTTATGTTCTTTTGTTGTATTATGACTGCAGGTATTGTTGTCTATGCAAACATGACTCCTTGTAAAAAGGTGTCAGTTTTGTTGCCAGATAGAAGGGTAAAAACCAATTATCAGGTTTAAATATGTTTCAACAATTGTCTTAAAGTTGTCACTTCAACTTTTGAAATTAGATTTGTGTATTATTCTTAGATGAATGTGAAATTGACATGTATTTTTAAAAATAAAATTGCATATACAATATTGATGTTATTCCTGATTCCCCTTGTCACGTGATTTTCAGTTTCAGCAAACATCTGAGCACGCCCTCTTCTCCTGCTCAGTGGTGGACGTGTTCACACAACTCAACCAAAGCTTTGAGATCATCAAGAAGTTGGAGTGTCCTGATCCAGAGATTGTTGCTCACTTTATGAGGCGTTTTGCCAAGGTAAATAAACCACTCATCATATTCCCCACCTTCAACACCATGAAGGCTTACATTCTAGCTGGTATGCAGCATTCGCAGCGGTATGTACACTGGCACGGTTTGTTTTTTGAGATGGCACTATTTATGCCAGCAGTTATCTGCTCATGGTTTCCCAAAAAATATGCCCTAGTGGTTTTATTAATCTAAGGCATTGATACAGTTGACTATTATAGTCAACATCATTAAATGTAGTTATCGCAGTAAAGCGGTAGGCTGGTTCTCAAATGTAGTGAAGAGGAAAATGTTTATAGTCTGGAAGCAACTCATATTTTTGTCTGGTTACAAAAGCTGTCGCCGAGGCTTCGATATTCGTCCGTCTACTGTTTTCATGATGTGTCGTATTTGGCTCATAATGTACTCTGCGCCAATGATTAAATACACCTCTGCATCTACTTTTAAAGACGTTCAAACAAAATGACACGTGGATTTTAATGGTTTAAGGGGGTCCCCGATATATGCCGGAGTTAGGGACCGGAAAATTGCAACTTATAACGAAACAATGTTTCACCGGGAATTTTTCCCCATAAGAATAATGGGAACTGGGGTGGGGGAGATAGGGACCATGAAAGTGTAAACATTGCCTATGTGATGCAAAGCGGGGCAATTTCTCCCATGAGAATCAATGGAATAAGGTAGGGATAAGATAACCGTAAACTTAGGGAAATGTTGTGTTTCATACCTAGCAAACAAAAATACGTACTGTCTATGTACAGTACCTGTACTATACTGAACAACACATCATGCACACATTTAGAACCAATTCTGAGTTCAATAACCTTTAAACAGCATTTATACTTGTCAACCACTTCAGTGAAAACTTTTTTCTGAGCATTTCAAAGCAGCCCTGTAAACTTTAAAACGGTTTCCTTTTTTAAATAGAAAACGTATTTGTGCCATTGTTAAGCAATGACTGAAACGTAAAATAAGTTTTTGTGTAAAAAAGCACACAATCTAAAACAGCATTTTTTTTGTTTACCTTAAACTATTATTTGTATGAGCTTACCTTGAGGAGTGGATGAGATGTGCGTTATTGGAGGTGTTGGGAGTGGATTACACTGGGTCATACCCACCTTCTGCAGAAACGTTTTTCCTGAAAAAAAGTTTTTCATGAAAAACGTTTCTGTGTTGGCACCAGTATTTTTACATTCTTAAAACTACATCGTGCCTGAAATCTGTAAAACCCTCCACGGGCATGCTATTGTTGTGCAGTTCCTCTTTCAAAAACGCCAGCCATCGTAAATGTTTTCTACGATAATACTTCTTTGCATGTAATTTTAACCTCCAAATGCTTAAAGCATGCTTAGCTTTGCTTTCTATTTCATCAACATTCTTCACTATCGTACGTACGCTTGTCAGAGGAAGATTCAAATGGCACCCGACACCAATTGCACGTTCACCTTTTGTACTACGCACTGTCACCTGTGCTGTCACTAGCACTGCACTTGCTACTCATTGTTGAAGGGTTGCGACGATATTTTGCGATTCGGTCCACTCCGATTACAACACGATGGGACTGAGAAGACGGTGGCACGTGCACGAAATAAGTAGAAAAGAATGTGCGGGAAAATTTTACATTGGGTGCGGGGACCCCCCGGAAACAAGAAGAAACAGTGCCAGATTAGGCTCGTTGCGGGGCCTGTACAATGTATTTTTATGGGGCCCTAAATAAAAAACACATAAATATCAAACACAATTTTTTTACTTCCATCGTAAAGTAATTGTATTTTTTTTCATTTGCTATACAGCCAGATAATACGACAAATCGCTTACCTTAAACACCCAGTCGTTCATAAAGTTGAAGGCGGTATAGTACTATAGTAAGAGCAAGTGCAGAATCACTGAACCGGAATTGATAGCTTGAAAGCATTTAGCGCAGGGCCCTTGAAAGTGCGGGGCCCGTAGCATTTGTAGCTACTTGTGCTATGAGGATAATCTGGCTCTGAGAAAAACGTACATAATTTGAAAAATTACAATCATAATAAATGTTTAACTTTTATTTCCACTAAGTATTTGAAATGTAATTCCTGTAGCACGAATCACTTTATTGCTCCATCATTGAAAATGGCACATCTTAAGTAATTGCCCATTTGTCTCGATTTTTCTCGTAGAGTTCAACAAACACAAAATAGTGTTTAAAATAAGATGATCAAGTTGTCAGTTATGTTCTAAAAAATAACCCTTGCCCTCCTATACTTGTCCCAATTTGTTTAAGTCAAATATTTAAGGCAAATGTATGTGATGGTGATGTGAGTAGGCACAAACCACACAGATTAATGTTACATTGTAGACTTGTTGTTCCACTCAGCCTTACAGTCACTGTGGTCTCTAAACTATAACAAAAGTTATTTTCCGTGTAAAAAAGTTTTTTAAATGTAATTCGTGTGAATGTATCTTTAAGGAATGTATTTAATACTCTGCCACCACCGTTAACTCTTTTGTTAACTCCACAAGCAAAGCCTCCTAATGTAATGTGTGCTATATTATTATAATTATAATGCTTTGCTGAAAAAATCTAAACTTTATTTGGCAAATGCACTTTTAGTTTTGAATCGTGACACTTATAATTATATTGCAACTGCAGTACATTTCGACTTTTCAACTATGATTTAGAAAATTGTTTTGGAAAATATTTTTCTTTATTTCAGTTTTACACTCCTGGGCTGTATTAAATCCTGGGAACACACTGAACATTTCTGAATGTGTTTTTCAGACCATTAGCAAGGTGTTGATGAATTATGCGGAAATCATCTCCCAGTACTTCAAGGAATACTGCTCCCAGGAAAAAGTGGTAAGCGTGTAATGTTTGCTGCATCGGCACTTTCAACTTCAAATGTTCAATTAAATCACATTTTCGTTTCTGATGACTTAAGAGAATATATAATTTGTTATTTTCTGTAATATTGATATTTTAAAACAATGTAAACGACAGTGCAGAAATAAGACTGCCTTATCACTCCACTTCCTGCTGTTAAATAATACCAATCACAGCGGACAAAATATCACTCTTTCCACATTTCTTTGACTTATCTTTCCTCTCAATCCTTAATTATGTATTCCAAACACCTTCCGTCCTCACAAAGCTGCCACTCTCTTTAGAAACTGCAACCACACCTTCTCTCGGGATGGAACCCTAACCACTTTCACTCTTCTCCCCTCCTCACAGTTTTATTCACAAGCCACTGTCTATTATGCTATCTTTATTACATTTTCTAAGCAAGTACCAGTAAGCACAAGATAATAATTATTAACACCTTATTACTCCAAGACTCCATGTCCCTTCCATTCACCAGCGCCTTACCCTGATAGCAACGTCCGTGTTGACATTTAAATGTCCGATTGTAAATTCAGCGACATCAAATAAATGATAAAACCTTGAGCTCCTCAGCCTATTCTATCATTATTATATCCTAAATAAACTCTTGAGTGGCTGGCTGTCAGTTGTTCTACCACATCTTATAAGTAGTGTTTGAACAATCAAGCAAACAAAACCAGACCATTGCTATAATGAGCAAACATTCTCACGAGTTATGCGTGCACTGACAACTTTTTTTATAGAACTTGTTCCTATTTCTCCCCAATAGCTCCCCCTCATTGTGTCTTCCCTATTTGTGTACACGCCGAACGCCACTTCTTTCTTCCCCTCGGGATTCTTATTTGAATCAGGGTCTCGTGCCCAGCACCACTGAACTGACAAGTCCCCACGTGTCACGACTCTCTCCTAAGCCCAACAACACCCAGTAATGTCCCCAGCTATCTTAACTATGCCCACTATACTTAGAATTGCAAGGCCTCTTAAATATTGTATTATAGTGTTGATTTTATGCCATTTGTGGACTACTGAATGCATCCATAAATCTAATCTCTCTACTTCATAAGCCAACATAAGAGGAACCCATGTTTCAACCACAGAATGTAGCCAGTTCTAAGGTTGGGTAATGCTTGGGTTTCCTTCAGAAAGCCTTGATATAAACCCTGTCTCTGCAATGGTTGCAGAGCCTCACTGTTTCACTATCCATCTAATTCCAATTGATAAATCCCTGCAGCATGCTTCACCCCTCCGGATCCCACAAAATATTATTCAGAATGTACTAATTCCTAAATGTCGAAAAATATTAACGAGAATTATATTTTGGCTGAAACGTATTCTTTACGATTATACAGCCATACACCCATTGCATTTGAATTCCTCCTTAATGGAACCAAAAGAATCAAATAACCTTCCAATATTAGTTGAACATAACAATAACCAAAGGTGTAACAACAACAACACTCTTCATAGAGAAGTGATACCATTTAACACAGGTCTTATGAGAAGATTTCAAACGGAGAGATTGGCATTTTTAGAATGGAGGGATGTTTAGTTTGTTTCATCCCCTCATCACCCAGAGTGTATCTCTAAAAAATATTTATATTACCAGCGCCTCTTCAAACATACATTATATAATGGCAGGGTTTGCCCCTTGTACATGACGCCCACCTCATTAGTCTTACACAGTTGCACATGTAACAGCGACTGACAAAACAACCAAGGTTCGACTTTGCTTCACGTGAGTGCCTCACCCTCGTTTCCATCGATCGCTATCCACACAGCATCTCTACGTGCGAGTTCCATGCTCGGTCTTCCGACCTCGGAGAGCCGCTCGGCTCAGCTTAATAAATCTCCTCTTGTCCAATAAACACGGACCATCGTTTGTGTCCTTGCCTCCTGCTCCTGAAACACTAATATACATTATAAATGTACATTATAAATGTAATTCTTCCCTATACTACACGTAAGTATATTTACTCACTATTACCTCAAATGGGAATGTAATGCGGTAAGATGATGTTCTGTTGAACTTCTGCTTCTTCAATGCTTGCTTTTGACAAGATGCCCCCGAAATGCTGTTAGCCTGCCTCGGAATATTTCTTCTCCGCAATGCGGTTTCAGCTCTGGTCACCCAGACATGATTTTTAATGCAAGGGGTAAGGGCCTGCTCGAGCAGGGGTCCTTGCCTCTTGTTTGCAATCACCTCATCCATTTTTGACTCTTTGGATTCGCTTCTCTATTGGACTTCAAATTCCTTCATATTGGGGTTATCTACACTTCAAACCACTTTTCAACAGGTCATAAAATTCAATCGCATTTTCTGCCCAGCGACAAGATACACTTATGTTTTATGTTACGCAAAATTGCACACATTTCCTCCCAGTTTCTATATTTGATACCTTGTATCTCAATACAGCTCTAACTTACAGTGAGGGAAAAAAGTATTTGATCCCCTGCTGATTTTGTACGTTTGCCCACTGACAAAGAAATGATCAATCCATAATTTTAATGGTAGGTTTATTTGAACAGTGAGAGACAGAATAACAACAACACAATCCAAAAAAAAGCATGTCAAAAATGTTATAAATTGATTTGCATTTTAATGAGGGAAATAAGTATTTGACCCCCTCTTAATTAGAAAGATTTCTGGCTCCCAGGTGTCGTTTATACAGGTGAGATTAGGAGCACACTCTTAAAGGGAGTGCTCCTAATCTCAGCTTGTTACCTGTGTAGTGAGTTCAAGGAGACGTAGACGACGTAGTCGGAGGCACACTTATTTATTCAACCAAAGGGCAGAACACAATACTTGAAGGGGTAACGGCCCCTTCACCCATCTAACAGCGAGACACCCTTAGTGCTAGCCCGGCTAGTCTGTTCCCAGGTCCTCCACTAGAGAGCTTGGGGAGGCTAGCTGATCCAGCTCAGGCCAAGCTAGGATCTCGTCACCCTTAGCCAACCAGATCGGCTCTTACAAGAGCATCGGCTCTGGGCTCTCAGGGCCGCGCCGCTGGCTTGCCCTGGTCGGTCCTTAGAAGGATAGCGAGCCAGGGGAGTCCCAAGGCCTATCCTGCCGGTCTTCACTCTTCGCTGGTTAGGCTGTAATACTCGACCCCGAGCCCACCGGCTCCCCGCCTTATATAGCAACTCCCCCCCGAGGGGTGGGGCCGTGGGGGATCACAGCACCATCACAGCTCTCCAGGGCTAACCGTTGCGGACGTGGATGTAGCCACCCTTACGTGTGCGGGCGCAAACACCCTTTGTGTGTTTGTTTGCCCTCCCGTAACACCCCTACACCTGTATAAAAGACACCTGTTCACAGAAGCAATCAATCAATCAGATTCCAAACTCTCCACCATGGCCAAGACCAAAGAGCTCTCCAAGGATGTCAGGGACAAGATTGTAGACCTACACAAGGCTGGAATGGGCTACAAGACCATCGCCAAGTAGCTTGGTGAGAAGGTGACAACAGTTGGTGCGATTATTCGCAAATGAAAGAAACACAAAAGGACTGTCAATCTCCCTCGGCCTGGGGCTCCATGCAAGATCTCACCTCGTGGAGTTGCAATGATCATGAGAACGGTGAGGAATCAGCCCAGAACTACACGGGAGGATCTTGTCAATGATCTCAAGGCAGCTGGGACCATAGTCACCAAGAAAACAGTTGGTAAAACACTACACCGTGAAGGACTGAAATCCTGCAGTGCCCGTAAGGTCCCCCTGCTCAAGAAAGCACATATACATGCCCATCTGAAGTTTGCCAATGAACATCTGAATGATTCAGAGGACAACTGGGTAAAAGTGTTGTGGTCAGATGAGACCAAAATGGAGCTCTTTGGCATCAACTCAACTCGCCGTGTTTGGAGGAGGAGGAATGCTGCCTATGACCCCAAGAATACCATCCCCACCGTCAAACATGGAGGTGGAAACATTATGCTTTGGGGGTGTTTTTATGCTAAGGGGACAGGACAACTTCACATCAAAGGGACGATGGACGGGGCCATGTACCGTCAAATCTTGGGTGAGAACCTCCTTCCCTCAGCCAGGGCATTGAAAATGGGTCGTGGATGGGTATTCCAGCATGACAATGACCCTAAACACACGGCCAAGGCAAGAAAGGAGTGGCTCAAGAAGAAGCACATTAAGGTCCTGGAGTGGCCTAGCCAGTCTCCAGACCTTAATCCCATAGAAAATCTGTGGAGGGAGCTGAAGGTTCGAGTTGCCAAACGTCAGCCTCGAAACCTTAATGACTTGGAGAAGATCTGCAAAGAGGAGTGGGACTGTTTATAAAGGTCTGGAGATGGGCGTAGCCCAAGTGTGTCAGCAGCATGGGCAGGGCAGCAATGCCGAAGCAGCAACAATGCCAATGCAGCAGCAATGCCAATGCAGCAGCAATGCCAATGCAGCAGCAATGCCAAAGCAGCAGCAATGCAAAAGCAGCAGCAATGCCAATGCAGCAGCAATGCCAATGCAGCAGCAATGCCAATGCAGCAGCAATGCCGAAGCAGCAGCAATGCCAATGCAGCAGCAATGCCAATGCAGCAGCAATGCCAATGCAGCAGCAATGCCAATGCAGCAGCAATGCCAATGTAGCAGCAATGCCAATGTAGCAGCTATGCCAATGCAGCAGCAATGCCAATGCAGCAGCAATGCCAAAGCAGCAGCAATGCAAAAGCAGCAGCAATGCCAATGCAGCAGCAATGCCAATGCAGCAGCAATGCCAATGCAGCAGCAATGCCGAAGCAGCAGCAATGCCAATGCAGCAGCAATGCCAATGCAGCAGCAATGCCAATGCAGCAGCAATGCCAATGCAGCAGCAATGCCAATGTAGCAGCAATGCCAATGTAGCAGCTATGCCAATGCAGCAGCAATGCCAATGCAGCAGCAATGCCAATGTAGCAGCAATGCCAATGCAGCAGCAATGCCAAAGTAGCAGCAATGCCAATGCAGCAGCAATGCCAATGCAGCAGCAATGCCAATGCAGCAGCAATGCCAATGCAGCAGCAATGCCAATGTAGCAGCAATGCCAATGCAGCAGCAATGCCAAAGTAGCAGCAATGCCAATGCAGCAGCAATGCCAATGCAGCAGCAATGCCAATGCAGCGAAGGGACACCAGGAAATCACTGCACCCCGCTCCACACACCACACTGCTGACGGTGAAGGTTCATTGACAATAAGTGGTTAATAACATCTTTCCAATGATAGCTGAGTCTATAACATTTGTAGACTATCATTATGGTTCAATATTAAGGTATACAAGAGGCATACATAATTGTATTAGATTGGGAAAAGTCATTTGCTAGAGTTGAATGGACATTTATTTTCTCCACCATGTAGCAAATGGGTCTAGTCGGCACTTGTATTCAGCTCTGCTATTACATATGCATCCCTTGGCTAAGGTGTAACTAAGAATGTTGCCTTTCTTTATTACTTCATGCAATACCAGCCAAGCCTCTAGCCACCGGCTGTAAGGAAGAGGAATTGATCTATTTGCTGTGCTTCCTCGACAGGCATTGAAACGTATTATCTCAATGGGGTCCATAAATCTCACCATTAAGCGACTGATGTACAAGCGTGTATAACCTATGTTAATAAAAAAAAAACATATCAGCAGCTTGAGCACCAAAGCTAACTCCAGACCGCCCGAAACGTTCACTTGCAGCTTCCTCTCCGGCAGGATTGGATATTGGCAGAGGCCACTGTTTCAGTGCTACACCCTTTTAACTGCTGTTGTGGGATTTACAATGACGTTTGGTAACTGTTGTGAACACAGACTTCTGCCAACTCCACATACTACCGATGGGTAATTTTCACATGAACAAAAACAATTTAACAGGGCAACGTTTGGAAAATGTATGCTGAACCTTGCACATTGTGACGTCGGAAACCAGGGCCCAAGCCTGATGTAATCTTAATTCTAGATTTGAAGCTTTCGTGACTGCAAAGATTCATATTCTTAGGTTTTTTCGGTTAAGTCACGTAAGTAAAACATCAAAATAAAAATAAAATAAAAATAAAAATCACGACGTTGTGTTGCCTCCGAAACGTCGTGATTTTTATTTTATTTTTATTTTGATGTTTTACTTACGTGACTTAACCGAAAAAACCTAAGAATATGAAAATGATGTAATCTTGTGGAGAAAACTTTTTTTCATGAAAATATGAAAATGCCAATTCGGGGAACAGCAGAGTTGCTTCATCATCGCCATCATCACGATCCATGGGCAGATAGCCCTTGGGTGTCTACTGCACATCTCATCATTTGTTTTCACTTTCCTCTGTCTTGTGCCAATATGCTTAAGTAGTGCACATCTGTCGTCATCACGCCATTCTTTGTTACGTCTTCCTCTCTCTCCGGTTCCTTCCATTGTTCTGAACAACACACTTTGAATGTTCCTTCTGTTGTCCATCCTACTACACGTGTGTCCAAATAGTGCCAGTGTCCTTCTCATCTCTGCCTGCATCACATCTTCTGCTATGTGTCACCTTTTTCTTACTTCTGTTGATCACTCTTTGGATCTGGTTTAGACGCATTATCCTTCTGTAACAATACAATTAGAATGCCACTATTTTATCGCTGTCGGTATTTTTCAATGTCCAGGTCTCACAGGCATACAAAGCTGTACTGAACACGCACGTTCTTAAGATGTTCAGTTGGGTCTTGTAGCTGATTTACTTGCTTCTCCGCATGCCTCACTACAAGGCAAATGTGGTACTTGAATACGACACATTTATTCCATATCTGTTAGCCTATCTTATCCCTTTCCACATTTATCCACATCGTCAGCACATTTTTAATAGGGACGGTTACAATGAAAGAAAATAAAATGTTTAAAAAGTATAATTTAAATAATGTTTTAAAGAATATATGAATGCTGATGTTTTTAACGGTGTGTTTTTTGTTGTTGTTGTTTCACGCAGGCCTGTTTCCTGATGAATAACATCCAGCAATTACGTGTGCAACTGGAAAGGATGTTCCAGGCCATGGGGGGCAAAGAGGTCAGCATCACTGAAATGTGTTATGCTTCCTCATCTGACTGAAATTAAAATTGTATATCTTAATTGCTAGCACACATAAACGAGACAATTTTGATAATTCATGTGAGAAATAACGTTTTTTTGTAACACATTTAAAAATTAATATTGTACATTGGAAGGGGTGTAATACCAATTATGGATGGAATTCTTAAATGATTAATTAGCGAGAGCAATTAATACATTTTTCGACATGCAGCATTACATTTTTGTTCATTCTTATTGATAAAAATGTATACTTTGCAACTGTAAACTAAGATAAACAAATCTGCATAAAGAATGGGAGTTACCATAGGATTAAGACAGATTACCATCGGCCATTCTATTTTGGACGTTTTCTCTTGGAAACTGCCATGCGAAGGTTTGTCTGCGGAGGCTCTTATTGCTGCACTCTCCGTCCAGACGCAAAATGAGATTTTTAAATCTCAAATCCAAATCTCCATTTTGTATTTGGAGGGCTACGTTTTTTTATCTACACTAATAAAAGCTTGTATCTGGAGCTCGTTTTTAAGAGAGCTGAATAAAAATATATTTGGCTATAGTTAAGGTACTTGTTTAAAGAGTGTGATGCTAACGCCAATAAAAAGTGGTCCAAAGCCTTCTTCACTACCAGTTACTACTGACTTGTAAACTCGAATAATTTTAACACATCCTCGATTGCAACCGTTATTCACTGCTGTACCATTATCGTACCATTATTGCAACATATTTAGTCTTTCCAATACTTCAGATGAAATCCAACATACTGCTTTTCGTTACTTAATTAAATTCTACATTAAACCCAACACCGTAGATAGCATCCATACACTAAACAATACACCAAGTAATACAATTAAAACGTACTTAAAGTGGCTTGCTTGCTTTGCTTAAGCTTTGTATGTAGCCACCTTGATCTGCTCCTTTGAAGCATATTCACGTTGGTCTGGCCAATGTATTGTCTGAGCTCTAAATATAATGATTTGGGTGTTGAACAATAAACATAGAGAAATTTAACATTTTTAATATATTAGAATCACAATCTTTATTTAAACTGGAGGAATCCAATGAGCTATGAAGATCTTTTTCACAGTTGTGCCAAATTGGGGCAGGTCAGCAAGTGACAACAACAAACAATATGCCAAAGTGTGAAGTTAAAATGCCTGGCCTTAACTTATTAAACCCTAATCTTGGACAAACAAATGTGTTTGCAGCCATAGATATCACCAGTGACACTTAATACAATTAAAATGTAGTGACACTGGTGTATCTATGGCTGCAAACATAGGTATTTGCAAACAGAGGTATTTACAAACAAATGAGTTTGCAGCCATACATATCACTAGTGACAGTGGTGGAGGGGTGAGTTGGGGTGAATGCAGTGCTTTCTGTGCATCTCTTTGATCCTTCGCTTTTTGTCTTAATGATAGGCTTTATAATTCTTGCGATATAATGGCACCAACTGAATTTACGAATACTGTATGAAAGAACAGGTTTATTATTGAATACCACATTAAATAAGATAGCCAAGCATGATGTGCTGCTGCTTTTCATCATCATAATAATCAGCCGTGATCTATTCACTTTGGGATTAAGGTCTCTCCATGCTTCTGCCATTACTCAGAGTCGTGCTACAGCTATAGCTTCTGCAACAAGAACTAATCTCATTATCTCCTCAATTTATGTACTTTTAGGCATGTTCCCTCCGTTTGGCTGCCACTAGTTTTTGGCCCATCCATTTTCTGTGACGCATGCTGCCCAAGTCCACTTTCTTTTGTCGAGTCGACATGTCTGCAACTTGCTGGCGTTCGCTGATCCACGTGTTCCTCCGTCACACGGTGTAAAATCCAAGCGTGCACTTCTTCATATCTCTTTGCGCGCACTTTTCACGTCTCGTTCCACTGTGTCATGACCGTGTTTAAAAATCCGTACGTCATGGCAAAGAATATACACCGCTAAAAAAACTCGGCAAAATGAACTTGAAAATGAAAAGTAGTATACCATTTTTTAAAAAAAACATGTCGTTTTAATCGGTGCTTATTACCACTCACTTTAACATGGTTCAGAAACGTGGTCATTCGTGGGAATTTTGGAACAAAACCAAGCGTGTGCATAGAAGCGTGGAATGAATCTTTCTTGGAATTATATTGAAAGACAGAAAGAGGATTATAGAACATACACAGGTAAACGGCTTTGTTCAAACTAATTAATACAAGTGGGCTTGGGCAGGACACTTCGCTGTATGGGATGATTGACGATGGTCAACAATAATGTGGCAACCAAGAAATGGAACGCATCTGATAGGACGTCCTCCAATGAGATGGAGCAATTAAGAAATCAGTTTGCGTTCAGGTGTTAGGTGGATTGGGGAGGCATTCATTGAGTAGGAGAGTGACCATGGCTGATGATTATCATGATAATACAAAAACATTCTTTAGTTACATTGGTATGTTGATATTTCTTATTAAGTTCAGGTTTTCAAAGCATCCGGCCTGCTCTTGTCCACCTCTATAATTCATTCTTTCCATCCTCTTTAACTGCTCCTAAGCATGTCGACTCTAATGTTATTTCCAGTTTTGCCCGTCAAACAGATATCATATTACATTATAATCAGAGAAGATCAGGATGTCTATTTAGAGGCTATGGTTGTGACATGGGCTTATTTGACCATTAGAGTCTAGACAATGGGGGAGAAAAAGATGAGAAGTCTAAGTGGGAACCTTGACACAGAGTTGAAGATATCCCGAGTGAAACAGCATGTTCAATAACAACAAGGGGAGATGACAATGCTTGTGGCCTGATGTAGAGTGCTGATCGCAGTTGCAGACGTACGGTGCGAAAGAAGTTCAACATACATAACTTAGTTATAACTGTTCATTTGAAAATACATTCAATGTAAAGATTAATACGTTTCATATGAATAGTTGAGCCATGGGACATGGCTCAAATATAACCCACAGCCCTAATATGGTGGAATTAATATTGATCAAAGCCTGACTTTTCAGAATTATAATTTTCTCTCTACTGTACTTTTTCTCCAGGTTATCCCAAGCAACACATTACATAGTAATGGAGCACATTACCACACAATTCTTGAAAACCGATACCAATTACTAACTGCTGGATTTTTTTATTAATATAAATCATCTGGATCCGATAGATAAAATCACGGATTTTATTGGATAATTTCAGGGTCCTATTTATTTTACGTACTGATTCATACGTTTATGTTTAAAACGCAGTGAGAACTTTCAAAGCCAGGCTAATTATTGTTACGTGATATGTCTGGCATACTGAAAATAATACATATCAGGTAATTAAATTTTACAACGTGATCATATATTTTATTAAAATGTAATAAATATGAACTATAGCATTCACTGTACAATAATGCAACGAAATACCGATTGCACATTTGAAGCCATAAAGCAGTGGTGGAAGACTAAAGGAATGTTCGGAAACGCTTGAAGAATTAATGTTACTTATAAAATAAGTATCTAGTTCAACAGACACGAGAGCACCAAGAAGATCAGCGTCAAATGGAATAGGTTTGCTAAATTCCATACAACAGATAAGTGTATAGGTTGTATTATCCCTAGTGCACATACGAATGCCGTCTCCAACTTGCATTGTGCCCAGTGTGGGTTGTAAAAAAAAGACCCAGATTAGCTAGAGGCCAATATGTATTTGTATACTGTTATATTTATTCTTAATCTATAAAAATGACCAATAGAGTTTTTTTGGGTTAGATCGCGTAAATATATTAATGTGTCGTTAAAACCCACCACCACCCGACAGCCAACTAGTAAGGGTTGTCACGTAAACAGAACGTGCCAATTCGTCAATTATACAGCACACCAGTGTGTTGGAGAGCCAAGGCACAACACTGCTGCATCCAAGTCCTAGATGATAACAACATCAATGCTGCTTTATATTGTGTCTTCATGTGCTCACAGCCCAAGACATTGTACATTAACAGGAAATACATATTTAATCAAAGCATATAAAGGAAAGGAGTCATGCTGCCAATGGAGCCAGGGCAGAGCCAGGAGGAGTCCCCAGTATGTGGAATGGGTGCCAAGCAAGGTCCAGGAGACGGTGCTGGAACTCGACCAGCAATTGGGATCAAAACAATTGAATACACAGTAAACGCAATAAACTAACAAAAAATAATCATGGAGGGATAACAAAGGAAGAATATCGCTTCAGGGTTTGTCAGCGGAAACCCTCAGCCGTTCAGCTGCCGAAGCCAATTGAGGAGGTGTGGACTACAAGGCAGGCACCACCAAACGGTGGCCATCTTCTCACTGTCCTGCTTAGTTAGTATTGATTTATTTTTTAAACAGCAATGTTCACGATTGACCACCTTATTCCAACCGTGAGACTGAAATGTTTTGGCATTTGCAAAAAAGGACCAGGCTGGTTTTCAAATTATCTTGGAAGAATGAAATAACGTGCAGAATTTGAAAACAATTTATCAGACTTTTCTCTTACTGCAAAGGTTGATCTACTTTTGTTCTTCCAGCTCAAATAGATCAGTCGATAAAGCAATTTAATACTATATACGCTACTTGCCTACATCATTTGCAATTTAATTCAAACTAAATTACAGTTTTAGTTCAATAACATTTAAAAGGTGTTGTATATCATTAATATGCTTTCTACATGCAAGTAAGAAAATATGTTAAACACTAACCAGCCCTCAATCATCAATAACACAAAACACTTGTGCAATGCCATTAAACACGTTACATAGTTCTAGCGTGGATAATATCCTTAAAATGTGTAATGCCTCTACAAAACCTTATAAAGAGCAGGTAAAAATCTCAATGGATATAAATCATGTTCTTATTATCCAATTTCCATCAACTCCTTGCCTCCAACATTGATTATGATGACATGATTTATATGTCTGCTCAAATCAAGCTTCAAATAGACTAAACTAATTTTTCCATTTGGCCCTGCAATCTCAAACTAGAACCACTCCACTCATAGTTTTGATGTCTACATTAGGACTGGTTACTTGCTGCTCCCTCTATCAAGAGCCATATATCAGTTTAGTTTGGCTATAAAGTGATGGCAATTAAATTATCTCCAGGTCTATATCGTCGATTAACTTCAAATATGACTGCAATTTATGTCAATTCTCCAGAGGCTATGGCCAAATGTGGTTCAAGTTTATGTTTAACCAGGCGAGCACTCAAGGGACCAGGAGAGTGTCATTTACAAGAGCGATCTGGGTCACTAAAATGATGAAAGCAAAACAAATAAAACAAGGTACAGCAATGAAGCAAATTGAAAATCTGAGCAAAATCAACCTTGTCAGATGGGAAATAGAAAATATTGCACGAACAAAAATCAATGTTCATTTATAAATTCCCTGTAGCTTCCATCAGCTCGGACAAATTATATTCAGACTGATCATAATATAATTACAATTAAGTTACAGAAACATTAAACAGATGTAGGGTGACTATTGCACTAATATGTAAATTGGCAAGGAAATATGTCAAATGGAATTGTAAAGTATAATTAAGAACCAACAGCTTTGGATCCAATTGTGATTTAGATGGGAGAGTCACAGAGGACATTTTTGATGCGATGGAATTGGAGGTGTGTGGGTATTGATCACAAAACGCGCTTGGTGCTCCCCATGCATCGAATAGTATCACATTTCTTTTACATTTAGCAACTATTCCTTCTCAGTATTTAATGAGCCACTCAAGTAAATATGCATTTGAGTAGTTAAGGTAAATATGTTTTCACTCTTTGGTTATTTATGGTTTTACTCAAAGTTCTATTTAAACTTTACATGGGTTAATATACCACATTTATAAATGTTATGAATGATATCAGATATATTTTAATGTATATATTTATTATTCTTGTTGTAAAAAATACTATTATTTTAATACTTGCTTTATTCCGATGTTTTTATGAGGATTGCACTTTCTTAGTTTTACTGAATTTGCTTTTCTGGGCCAATTGTCCCTTGAAAAAGAGACTGCGTATCAATGGGCTGTCATCTGGTTATAAATAGATGGTTTGATTGATTAAAAAATGGGTGTTTGCGTCAAGAGTACGGTTTGTAAGAATAGATACGTTTGCACAATGCGAGCCATTTCATTGCAGAAGGAGATACGAAATGTATGTGTTCATAAATGACTGGCGGCAAAGCATTGTATATATTATTAGGGTGGGAGAATGAGATTGGTAAAGTCAAGTACACGGGATGCAATAAGGAAAAATTACAAGTCAAGACATTAGAGTCAGCACTCAAGGGTCAGTAACCAATGGGAAGAGCTCCAGCCAGGTTGCGGAATACTGTGCAGCATTTGCAGGATATGACATAAAGAAGGAAATTAAGGAGTTTTATGGTGGCATTAGGCTGGCTGCATTGAACTCTTAATCTTTATTACTGATAAAAAAAACTGTATCCAAGATATCCCAAAGTAGACATGGACACATTTAAATTATGAATGCTAATACATATTCTTCAGGATATAATAACTATCACTTTCTTAACTAAAATATATAATTTTGGTCACAGATATAAGTAATATCCCCGATTCATATACGTTGTCCCCACTGTATAGTCTATACTCTTTGGTTATTTCGGTAAAGTCACGTAGGTACGACGTTTCGGGCGCAACACAAGCGTCCATCATCAGGTGGGAATGCTTGTGTTGCGCCCGAAACGTCGTGATTTATTTTATTTTATACCTACGTGACTTTACCGAAAGAACCAAAGAGTATGGATTCCTGCAGTCACGAAAGCTTCAAATCAAGATTGTATATGTTAAATCTGGAAGAGCAAAAAACAATACAATTATTATGCTTATTTCATGATAATTCCTCAAGATCGTACATATTTTCTTTTTTGCTGTCATGTCCTGGCCGCTTTGCACTTTGTTGGGACAATGTACATTATTGGAACAAATTTTGTTCACTTAAAAAAAAACCCAGTTATTATTGAGGATTTATTTTTAATAGAATGCGATGCCTGTATGATTGTAATTATGCTCCTTAAATGGTAGGGTTTATGGCTATGTCACTGTGCAAATGTTGTGGTTTGTGATGTGCTTTTATAATGAACACACTGTGTTTCTTACCAATAGCTTGATGCTGAGACCAGTGAGATGCTCAACGAACTACAAGTCAAACTGAATGGCGTTTTAGATGAGCTGAGCCGAGTGTTTGGCATCAGGTAAGGAGGAAACGTTACTTGTATATACATATTATGCGTGTGACAATTTTGAAAGCGTGTCCCCGTGATCACGTGTGACTTTAAAGTGATATTCATTCGTCATCTCCGAGAAAACGCCTTCATTTGTCAGTCCACTATTTGTTAATCCATTATTTACTTCATGCCAAGCAGCGATGGCACATGCCTGTAATCAAACACTGTGGAGGCATCGCACAAATGTTGTTCAACTCCCATCCCGTGGGGAACGAGGTGCCGTACCCTGCATTGCCAGATGAAGGCAGTACAGCAAGTGTATGAATCACGATCAGTTTCCATATGTACGGGAATAAAGTGTTGCCCCCTCACACTCCCACATTATAAACACTCATTAATTTGCTGTAAATATTTTAAAATAAAAACCCATTGTATGAACCTCCTGAAAAAGAATGCTACGACTCAGCGTGGCTATCCTGGATACAAAATTTAAAATGTAACTAATTTTGGAAATTTTAATACATTTTATTTGGGTAACACAATACAGTATTTCCTCATGTAATGTGGTAGGTGCATTCCTGAAAAGTGCCACATTAAGCAAAATGCGTTGAACGAAACCAAATTGCCACTAAGATGGTAGGAGAAAGAACTGTGTTACCCAAATAACATTTATATACTGTGTTATTCTGCGCGTGTACCCAAAATTCCTGTAGCAGTCAGCCCAACAGAGTAGAACGTTGTCGACCGCTCGTTCTGTGCAGTGTCAAGAGTGGGGCAGGGCCAGTCTCTGTTGGGTGGCTTGTAGACATTGGGGAGTTGTTAGTTCACCATTTCGGACGCTGATGCATCGTAACAGGTAGACTGCATAAAGGTTGCGATCTTCCACCCACACAGATATCAAATAGAGATATATACAGAAACTAACATGGAGAGACACAAGGTGACATAGAGAGACACGGGGAGATACAAATATTGATAGAGAAGATGGAGATACACTAACGAGATAGAGAGATACGTGGAAAAAGAGATAAACAAATGAAGATACAGAGAGAAAGGGAGGGATGCAGAGATACAGAGAGGGACACATACACAGGGATAGAGACAAGCACATGGAGACTGACACAAGGAAGACATGTCTTTAGAACAGTGGTTGTGCATCAAAAACCCCCACCACACTCTAAATAGAAAGCATAAGAGTGTAATAAATGTCGTGGAAGCGACTTCTCGATTCAAGGTCTTTATTTGTCTTTCGTTTTTTCTTGGTTCTTTCGGTAAAGTCACGTAGAAGGGAAGTAATAAAATAATAAAAATAAAACATAATAAAATTTTATTATTATTATTTTATTACTTCCCTTCTACGTGACTTTACCGAAAGAACCAAGAAGATGAATCCCTGCAGTCACGAAAGCTTTAAATCAAAATTTGTCTTTCGTTCACAACACTCTTCATATAAATTCCACTCCTATCTTACTCCTTCACGCTGCTGACAGACAGCGTGAGAGGGAGAGAGAGAGACATGCGCAGCCACGTGGCAGCCTGGACCCCGCTCCAGCGTGGCCTCACCCTTCGTTCCAGATCTGACCACGTGTTGTCCGTCTCCACCCCTTTTGATACCCGGGTCACGTGGTACCTTTCCACCAGTCCTGGTTAACCTCCATGGAATCTTCCAGACTCCATCGTACGATCCCAGGACCACGCCCTTGACTCGTCCCCCCATTGGCTGTGGCTAAAGCCAGCAGATCCAATCATATACTTGCAGATGTCACCTTCCCATTACGTCAGGGCTACGCCCCTAGATTTCTCCCCATTGGCTATGGGCCAGGACCGGTAGAGCCAATCATCGTAACGAGGTGTAATCAATCAACCACTCGGATATACCCTCACATTACAAGAGTACTACTGGAACACACTTCCAATTATCGCCATATTTATTGTGCATACATGGAATTGCGAGGCAAATTCATCCAATTACCCACAGGTTTCACTGTGGGTATTGACCAGCCTTTTTCCCCAGTACGCACGTTCAGAAAATCATCACAGATCGAATTATCCATTAATTTTTCGCAGATAGGAGTGGAGATAAATCACTCCCAATGATCAGCAATTATTTACACATTTTCCCACACATAATGAAGCAAGAATAATCGGCTCCGTGGTATTATTTTGACATTGCCGCACATAAATGTTGTCCTGTACAATGATTTTGCACCAAGTAACGTATCACATTTGAATGCATCTTTTTTCCCTTTGTTTAAATGGATAAACAAGAATATGAATCTTATTTTAGTAACAAATAGCATTTAGCTTCAGTAATAGGATACTCCTCCATAGCGCAGAAACAGTGTTTCAGAAACCATGGTGGAATAATGAAGGGGATTTTAGTTTTCAATGTTAGTAGCATGCATGCCAAACAGAACTCCGTCAGTGATTTCTGAGGTTGCTCAAGAGATGTCATTAGATTCAACACAAGTTATTCATGCAGTGGTCACCAACACGCTCTGATCATATACATATATATTAGAACATGATTCCAGTGAACGCCATTCCAATGCTGGGCACTAGAGTAGTAGTCTCGTGTATATGATCGGAGTTTTAAAATTGGGATATCAGGGAAAAACAGGTATCAGATTTCATCCCAGACAGCAGCTTTGTAATGCCAAACTGTAAAGTTTTTTGCAGCATGTAATTACTCAGACTGGCAAGACCCTACATAAATAATATTACGCAGGGTTTTGGTGCATACACAGAATAACAAGTTCAAGAGTAAAAAAAGAGTAATACAGATTATCACTGGTCAACAAAAAAAAGTTTTTTTTGGCTTGGACTTTTGCAGCTATTTTAGACTAATTTCAGGGTGCTGATTCTAAATCTGATCTCAGATTTGCTCTATCACATTATTTTTATGCTATCGGCATACCCCATTTTCATTGATTTTACCCGAAATTAACTCTGTTGCGAGTCAGTGACAGCTTTAGTGTTAAAATATGGTGCTGTATTTCTATAATAGTGTGTTTATAATATCATTTTATGTAGATATCCACATTTATTTAATATTTTTTTTCTGCAGTTTTTATTTAAAATGCAATATTTGATATCTCAAAAACCTGATGTGATAGACAAAAACTGATGCCATATTTGTAATCAGCACCCCAAAATTACCTTCAAACCGGTGGAATACCTAACGCCAGAAAAAGTGTGTTGACCAGTGTTATCCTTGTCACTAGGTCAAACAATTGATTATAACGTTTCTCAACGTCATTCAAGTTTAACTCTACTCTTAGATATTGCACCAGTTAAATGTATAAAGAATATGTATAATGGTAGTATAAAATTATTGCTCAAATAAATGTTTTGCACAAATTTGACAGTACTTCATAAAAGGCCACATTGAACTTAAAAAACATACTGCTCCACAAGGACAGAGTACAAACTGCTTGATAATTTTCCACATTTTCAACAAAGAACTGTGATGGATTAAGTTATTGTGATATTTTGTTGTATGAATATTAATGTAAATCAAATGGTTTTTACATTTAAACCAAAACTAACTCAGGATAGAACATAATTCATAAAGGATTGATAATGGATTAAAGTTGCTATGGAAATAGCGTGCTTCTATTTGCATATGTATAAGAAAGGACGGGTTTTTAATCCTTCTTAATTTGCATGCATTCACCCGCGCAATGTTTGTTTTAGTTTTCGCCCACAAGTGGAGGAAAGCGTGAAAACAATGGCCGACCTTCTGATCCAGGTGAAGGGTGGAATCTCTGGGCAAGGGAACTTAGCTGGAGATGCTGACACTATTTTGCGTCCTCTCATGGACTTGTTGGATGGCAAGTAAGTGGTCGTCCTACCTTGAAGTCTTGATGCACTTTGCACTCCCATCACGATGTCAATAAATATACTTAATGAGAGGTTTACTCAACTCATGAAAGCATGGACGTCAATAATCACTGGGTTTGAAATGTTGAAGCTTTTGGCAGCAATTCACGTATAAACAGATAGGCTACTTCTTCGTGGCACAGCATTAAGTATTAATAGAAATACAGTAGACTCTCGATTATCCACGTTAATGACGGGGAGGATGTCCGTGGATAATTCTAAATTATGGATAATCAGAAAATATCCATTTCCCGCAGATCTCTACGCCAAAAACCATTAATATAGATATAAATTACTTTTTAAGTGAAGAACATTGAGTTTGTTAATGAACAACATACACATTTTTGATATAAATAATAGATTGATCTTGTTTTATCACAAAAGTTCATACAAAAACACACGCAAACAAGTTTGAAAAATCCATTTCTCTGCCATCACAGTTTCGAAAATTAAAACTCACTAAAGACATCACTCCAAATGAAGCACACCTGACAAATACTAACGATCAACCAATCGATGCGCATGCTCAGTGATAACGCTTTTCTGATCCCGCGCAGAAAACTCTGCCCACTAAGTGGATAGCAGAGCCATGCCAATCAAAATCAATCAAGTTCCGCCCACTATTGTAAAGATATGCAACTACTGTACTGTAGAGGCAATCACGTGGATTTCGGATTAACCACAGCACATATTTGTTTGGTTTAACCACGTGACTTGTAAATCACTTTTCCAAGAATAACAAAGTATTACTCTTTTTAGATGATTAATTTGGGCTTAAGGGAAAATCCATAAGTTATTAATTGATGTCAACACGCACGGATTGTTTAAAGTCAACTGTCCTTTTAAAATAGACTTGAGCCAAAAATGTGGGTTTTTGTCCACAAAGCATTTGTAATATTATTTGTTGGTCACATCCACCAATGGAAGCTGATGGAGCATTTCTCATTTTGCACAAGGCTTGAGGGCCTTGCTAAGTTAAATACAAATTATATTTAAGGCTGGCATACTTAAAGAAAATGTTAATTGAGGCCAGCTCCTGTAGGCTCTCTTTGGAGGAATGTTTCTTGTGTCACAAACAAGTTTCACCTGCATTAAAATCCACGTGTGTGTGTGTGGGGAGGCCAGGCTTTGAGACAGCTTGTTCCAAACCAATTTCTGGCATGCTGCTTAGCTCCACCCGCTGAGAGAAATACTTAACCATTTGTATTTTAAAATGGTCATGCATATACACGTGTGTCTTTTTACACTAAAACCCTAAGTAAAAAAATGCCCAGCTTTGGCACTAGTTAACCCTGGAATTTAACAAGAAAGCAGCATGAATGGTTCCATATTTTTGTATTCGTGGCTATTCGCATGATGAAGCAGAGTTTTTATTTCTGTAGGATCTGAGAATAGTGCTGCCCCAATCCACCCCCATATCAACACAGACAGCAGCACCGCTGTGCACATGATAACAATATGCAACAAACACATTGTTTAATGCTGTGGCAGATTTTATCGATATAATTTCACAAGATTGTCCCTTATTTCGAGGTATCCACATTCATACACACGCTCACCTCAGTGGTCCTTGTGGTCCACCACCAGGGAATTGTGCATTAGCATGTCAATGTTTTTCTGAGGCTATCACATTACCACCCCGGGCTCTGTGATCATAATGACAGAATTTAAGTTTATTTCGTTATTTAAATAAATGTGTTACATTTAGTAAAAAACAAACATGTTTTTCTAAACAAGGATATTCTCTGTAAAAAAGTGATTCAAGAAATAACGCCTATTCCTCAACCCGTCAGCCACATGACCTTCTGGGAGTGTATATTTCATCAGCATTGATTCATTACAAGAAACCCCTGATACGGTTTCAACATTCGGTGTATTATCAGTCCTCTGGCTTGCTGGTTAATTGCCCGATTTGTATAGGCTAGGACCCTTTCTTTAAGAAATGGCTCTTAGTTCAACACAAAACTATAAAGTACATGTCACAAAATACTAATTAACCATGATTATTTTGAGAAGAGACAAATTTGGAAAAGAGTCAAGATTGTGTTAACATTCACCACTTCAATGCTAAATGATTATTTTGTTAGTTAGCATTTTCATTGTTTAAAGATTTCTTCACATTTTGGACAATTTTGTTACTTTTTTGACATGATAGCTTAACTTGGCTCTATGGGCTTTGTTCATTTCCATCAAGTTAACGTTTCATGAGCATTTACAGGCAATGTTTGTTTGTTTGTGTGCAGTCTGACACTGTTTGCCAAGGTATGTGAGAAGACTGTGCTGAAGAGAGTACTCAAAGAATTATGGAAGATCGTTATGAATACCATGGAAAAAAAGATAGTCCTGCCTTCCCTTACTGATCAAACGGTAAGAATAGTTGCTGCCCTAAGCTATACACCGTCTGATATTCACATGATTGCAATCAGAATTTAGTTTAGGTATAAGACAGTTGCTTCAGAGGATTACATTTTCTTCTGAGAAATTAACTATTGGAGTGATCATTAGCTAGATTATATTTCCAAAAGAGAAAAACACAGTGATTCTAATGTTGAAGACATTCATTCACCAAAAATAAATGTAACTGCTAATCACTTTAAACAAAAAATGCATTCCGTTATTTGAGGTCAGCAAGTTAGTCAAGGAGTGGGGGTTTTTTAATATACAAACCGAGTTATTGTGCAGTGGAGCCATTCCATTTATCTTCACACATTCTTGCCTGGAGGGAAGTGCATTGTGCACTGGCTGTGTTCTACAAGGTCCACTGAGGGTAGTGCTTAGATAACAGCTGGGCCATAGAATGGGGGGAGTCAGTAATTGCCCTAAATCCATGGCATCTCTGCATGCGGAAACAGTGGTGGCTCCAATTTGCGGAAGCTACAAACTCTGCCTCAGGTTTATCAGTGTCGGGTAGGCTTGATAATTTGAATGTGTGTACAAAACATGATAATCACCTGGGCTGGGCATCCACCATAAATGTCCTTCTCGGATGATACATGTGTAGTGTCAACGATTCAGAGACAGAGTTTCTAGGAGGCACCTTCTTTATTAACAACTTTCACGGTCTCGTCCGCACACTCTCCACTGTAGCTCAGCCCAGCCTGTACACAACACTAGCCATCTAACACTGACGGCGCTGACTGAGATAGCCAACTACTCTCCTTCGTAGCGCAATATCTAGCGGAGACGTTTAGCGACGACGGAGACGAGACGACAGCAACGACGAGACGAGTCCGTTCCCAGAACCGGCAGCCTCGAGCCCCCGCTCCTTTTATGCTCCCAGCGCGGCCTGGCTCCGCCCTGACCGCGCCTCCCTTCTCGAACCCGCTAGGAGGTTCCAGGGGCCTCCAGATGGGGTTCTCCGTGACCCTTGCCCCAGTTCCACCGCTCTGCCAACACACCGGTGCTCACGCTCACCGGCGTATGTACTGTCTGTCCACCACAGCTGCTGCTGCTGTCCAACAGCCAGCGCTATTACACTACACTTGTATATGCCCATCTGGTTGAGATTGTACTAATGAAGTAACTGCTATGGGTGTTTCAATTATCCATTCACTCGTGTGTCACATAAGACTAGAAAACCCTGCGATGGAATTGGTAGCATCTCAAAACCGGAGCCAGGGGCTACCACTGCGTAAAGGAGGCAATATACTTGTGAGGGAGTGCACAGTTGGGTGGGTGTTGGCAATGCATAGCGAGCCTTTCCAAGCATCGGTAGCCGTCACCATCAATTTTCATCCATCATGCTCAGTCTGCTGCAAGGCAGCAGATGTTCTTAAGGGAATCGTGGCCTGCTCTGACCTCTTAAAAATTGGCCTACCATTTTATAAATGCGTTATTCCATAGCCTTTGTAAATATTTGGCAGGCACGGACATCTAGCAATGATTCTATACCCACAGAATGTGTATTTGAACAATAATTGTTGAGAGTGTGTACACCTACCGTAATTGCAGGAGTGTACACGCATATATATAGACACGTGTGCATACTAAACATTGTACTATGAACACCTATTGGGGTCAAGAGGTCATCGTGGGCAATCCTTTTATTCCAAAATACATATCTCTTCTCGTAGACCCAATAGCTGTATACAAATTGACACCAACCCTCAAAGTCCTCGTCTTCCAGCATCTGGCTATGGGTATCACCGCCAATCTCTGGGCACCACTCTAATCACCCAATTGTGTCCGTTACCATTGCAACCTCCCAATTTCTGATTACATTGAACCATACGGTGACACTGTCATTGGTCCTGCATCAAAAAATCTATCTCATGCAACTAAAGTTCACCCATCTACTCATCCATATTGATTTTCTTAGTCCATTAAACCATCTTCCCTTGAAGGCCTCCAGCACATGCTAATTGAGATTCTCACGGTTGACCCTTGTTAGTAAAATTTAAGATGTAGGGGGTTTACCGGTCCCTTGCATCCGTCCAGCGCCACCATTCGCCACTCTGGTGCATATGATCATGATGCCATGAGAGTAAACAGATAGCTAGCATTACTGACGTGTAACCCACGACGGAGTTGCAAATTATGTTGCTATCGATTGACACTCACAACAACACCCACAGAAATAAATGCATACATGAAGCACGCATACCACACGGATATGTAACTGCCTCTGCTGGTTTAACGGCAGTAACCCTATCTGCAATTCATTGTCTCATTACTCCTAATTCTGAACCTGTTGTGTATTATGTAGCTGTTTTTCTACTACTATAATATTCCATGTTGAACATCATATCCATCCAGTAAATTTTAATCATGACTGCTGTATATTCCCCCATGCACCCCTTGACCTCCCTCAACCCAATTGTTGCTCACCATTTGATACTACGACTATGTGGTTCTTGATATTGCCTGATTGAGCAATGGATATTAATATATTTTTATTACACGCTTTGATTTAACTGACTATCTGTTGTCGTATCCTCAAATCTTGTAACTCAGTTTTTACCCACTTCCCAATATGGTATCGACTGCAAACTTGGTATACGTATGCCATACTGATGACAATACTATATTCTATCGTTGAAAAAAATAATTTTAACAATCTTTTTTACATGTTATGTTTCGGCTTGGGTCTAATTGTCCACGCTCAACTGACGTTGGCTGTAAATCACCACGGCCCCTTACACTATGGCAGGCTTCGGGGCCACCTCCTCGAGTTGCGGAGTTCTGCCATTACTCGTACGGTACATTTCATTAAAGCGTGTTTATAAAAAGAGTATTTTTCAATATTACTTTTTTAAACTCTAGGAGACTCTGTTTGACCCTGAGGCATTAGCAACAATTCTCAAAGATCTTAATGGTTCCATCTACTGTTCTCTTCATGTATTAGTAGCTGTCCGTCTCAGACAGTACCACATGAATCTTGAGCTCTTACACCTAACTTGGTACTTCAAGGGCAAGGTGGTCTGTAATTGGACACTGCTGCATAATTTGCTATGCAACCATTATTACCATCAGTCTGAATCTACTGAAGGGATCCCCGAAGCAGTTCTGTGATGTCACCTTCTAGAAGTCATTCTCCCACGAGGCATTAGACAAGGCTGTCCGTAAACGCCGTGAATGTACATTTCTTTGCCTCATGATACCGAGGAATACAATTGGAATATAATCCATAAAATACAGTTTCCTAATTTTGATGATAGATGGACCACACAATTATATCAGAATACATGCAATTTTATGGAATGTGTTTTCTTTTCAGATGCTTTAAAAAATATATTTGACACTCATAGTGTAGGTATGGTTTCTGTAAACAATTATATTACACATGTCATACTGCTTATTTATTTATCATGGGAAACATTATATAGTCATTTACATTTTGTGTTTTAGAGGTCTCAATTGTGTGTTAAGGGGGGGTGAATGTATATTTACACAATTAAAGTAACGTGTATATTCAATTGCAATTCTGGCAGCGTGTGCAGTACGACATTAAGTATCGGTGTGTAGTCGTCGACCGTTCACATTTCATGTCAAAGGAAATTCATTATTTTATAATTTTGCTTCATATCCAAAAGTTTTTTTTAATAAACCACCTTTGCTTCATATCCACAAGTTTGGTTTAATAAACCTCTTTTTCAGGAAACATTAATTATTCACGTACACATTTTTTCTTCAAAGCAGTTAGTAATTTCAGTGAAAGTAATAATGTTTGCATCAATCTGCTCCCTTGCAGTTTGTAAAAACGTGTTCTTGGTGCATCTTAGTATTCTTACTCTGTAATGACAGGGATTTCCATGAAAGGACAACGACTCATTAACACCTTTCGCCTGTTTGTTTTTAAGGGAGCGCAAATGATATTCAATGCCGCTAAAGAACTGGGACAACTTTCAAAACTGAAGGTACAAACACAAATCATTTTGAGCGCTTCATGAGGTGGAGGGGGCGGTGATGGTTCGCGTTCGCCGCTTGTTCCAGAGGGTCGCGGCTCGTAGGGGGCGATTATAACAATCGTCGCGCCCTCTACTGGCAGCCTGACTTCTTATTTGCAGGTCAAGTCAAGTGCCGAGTCACCCTGTGCCGAAAGGGGCAGCTGCCACTGGGCGGGGGGGGGGTCCTTTCAAACGTTTGAGATTAGATGTGATGTAAAGCACTCTGAGATCCCCTGGCATAATAGGGCACTATATCAAAACAAATCAATATCATGACATGAACATTCCATTTAATTATACAAAGTTGAAAAGTATGCGTGTGCGTGGATTCTATAGCGTTACAAAATGCGTTTCATCGGCAGTATTACATTCTTTAGAGAATGTATGCACGTCAAAGACATTGTATTAACTGTTAAGGGATGTGCATTAGGCTTTGGCAGGACACATTACTGGTAAGGATGATGGCCCGAAAGTCAAGAATAATGATGGAGTGGTTGCCAAGGTAGGGAACATGTCCGAAAGGCTCATCCAGCAGAGAGATGGACTGATGCATTAGCCCGTGTGCAGGTGTCTGTATGGATTTCTGCTTAACAGAAGAGCCGAGCGCTGGCTTGGGGACGCCTTCAGCGGTAGATGGATCAGGGCGGATCATGCCCAGTACTGGCATCCCATTACAACATTGGATGCACGCGAATAGCGTGTGATGTCATCTCCATGGGGAAAGGGTTTATTTATTTATTTGGTGCTAGTTTTTCTACACATTACCAAGCTTTAGACAACCATTTGATAAATGTGTCCAGATGTCTATAGTGTAAGTCGTTTTTAGCAGCACAACTTTGTAATAAGATGTATTTAAAGACTTATCGTGACCCCATTTTAAAGAGAGATGGACATCCATCCAGCAGTGGATAGACAATGGATGTTGATAGTAGTGATGTTGACAATGATGATGGTGGAGCTCTGGGGATGCAAGAGGGAATGTAAAGTATTTAAAACAAATTAAATGTTTCCAGCGCCATTTGCAATCAGGATAGAGTATACATATGATTTAAACCTTGCAAGAGCTGATTGATAGGTTTTTTGTGAGACTGTCCTAAATCTAGTAGTGCATTTCAAGATAAAATTTCTTCCATTGTCTCTATAGTCTCAGATCAGTGGATTGCAGGATGCTGAGTAGCTTCTTGAGAAGGCAAATTAATTTTGGAATAAAAATAGGCAATTAAAGAATCAGTTTTATTGCATTTCATGAGTTACATTAAATATTGTTTTATATGTATTACTAAAATGTGTATCTGGCAAACTTGTATTTAAAATACACTTATTACAGACACATTATATATCTGTATTGCTTATATTGATTTTAGAAACATGCACTGATTTTGGCTATATATTTTTTATAATTATACCATTTATTAAACAAAAAATGTTTTGTGTTCAAAAGCACAGATATTCATGGCATCTGTATCGTCCTTGAGATGTATTTTGTATGCCATAGCTGAGAGAGCAAGACTGACTGACATTGTAGGGAGTTATTCACCTTCATTGTTGATGTCTGTGGTTTATAGAACAAAGACTAAGGTACATTTATGATCTCTAGGGTTTGAAACATACAGGATGTCACAATTTTCAAAAAATGTGTTATACATTGACTTCCCTCGTAAGATATTTGATATTAAAAAGTAACACTGCGGCATTTTCTTTCTTCAACACCAATATGACCGTTGTAGCGCTGTTAATAGATGTGCCTTGAAATTTGCAGTGCATCAGCTGTGACATCATGACGTCACGTGTGAATTAATATTGCCAGCACTTCCTATTCTCCATGTATTTTTCATGGATTAGAGGGTTCACTGTGGGTGCTAAATTATATGTCTAGTAAATATAGTTACTTTTTGTAACGATCCATTAACCTAGTTTTGTGATTAAGTTCATTACTTGCGTATATGTGCTTTTCCTATAACATGTTATCATTTTGTGTGACTATCTTGATGTAATCCAGGATCACATTGTGCGGGATGAAGTGCGCAGTCTCACACCCAAACATTGCGAAGTCATGGAGATTGTGTTGGACACGATAAAGGTACATCTCCAATAAGGATACATACAGAAGATGATACAACATACATCGGCGCAAACAAAAGCAATGGCAATCGTACAAAGAAGCTTAAATTATTACATATTCTCGAACACCTGCATGAGTAATGCTGCAGTCACAGACCGCGGGGTTTCACACTTTTTATTATCGCGTAGAGACAGTAATGCGCGCATCTTTGATGGAGCCTTTCTTTGGCTGCCTTTGCTGTGTATTTGACAGGGGTGGCTTCTGCACAATGTTGAACACTTCTTCGTTTCAAATACAGTCTATTCTCGTAATGTTTAGCATCTATCTGTAGCAGCCAGGTATGAAGGTGTCAGAATAAGCACACATTCACTTTGTGAACACGCAATCCTCACTGTCTTCGAGTAGCGTAGTGAGTTAAGTAGTCTGACATATTGTACAGCTTGATATCCATGGGTAGCTCTTCAGCTTTATCATATTTAAAATAGTGGTCCTCCATGATTGTTGTCTGCAGATATTAAGGTCTGCCAGTAATGAGCTTATGGATCACTAGGTAATCGAACTCTGCAGTCTAATGCCCGGTTCCATTTGGAAGGTGTGTTTTGTTGATGGGCTGGGATTACTATGAACTTTAGCTTTTCCACTTGAAGTTCCACCAGAAATCTTTGTTCTGGAGCGCTGGTAAAGTACTCTCATGCTGAATGAGATATGCTATCTAGGAGGTTAGTACCATCTGAAAAGTCTAGATTGTCTTGGATTATTTTTTATTGGTAATGAGTGGGAGGACCATATCTTTGAAAATATTACGTATTACGTAATCAAGGACCACAATGAGGATAAATGGAGCCAACGTTTCTCCCAGTGTTAAAGCTTTACTGAACTGAGTATATTTCTACAATACCAGGTAGATATTTTTCCAGAAGTAACAGACAATCTAACTGCGATTAACAAATTAGATACAGGTAGAGTTTAATTTGAGCTAAAATAATGTCTGAACAGCTCACTTTTTGAACTGTCAGTCATTCAACTTTGTCATAGACAACAAACTTTAGTTGTATCAATGGCAGGTGCTGTCCACGGGGAACTGGAATTCAAACATAACATCTATGCGAATCAGCTTCGTGGCAAGCATTCTAACAAATATGCTGTACGGTTGTCATTCAACATTGAGATACATTTCCAGACTTCTGTAATGTTGTGTCTTGTCTTTTTTTGCAGCAATACTTCCATGCTGGAGGGAACGGATTGAAAAAGACATTTTTGGAGAAGAGTCCTGAGCACCAGTCCCTGAAATATGCTCTGTCCCTGTACACTCAACCTACGGACACACTCATCAGGACCTTCACCCAGACCCAGACGACTCAGGGTAAGATGAATGGTGCACACATGCTGCACAGTGCCGAGAGGCACACGTTACATCACGCATTTTTACATATGCAAAATGCTTTCAAATACAATTCAGGTTATTCTCGAAAAATAATGTAAAGTTTCTTCTGTTTGAATCATGTTGAACAAAATTGTAAAACATTTTCCCCATTGATATCTACCTATATTTTTAGCATGTCATTCAACAATGACATGAATTTAACTTTGGGTTAGTACAGGAATATAAATCAATTTACAATAAGGAAATGCATTTAATCTGGAGTTACTGTACACTACGATGTACACGTTGTCTTTCAGTCTTTAATATTTTATCAGCATCAAGCACGCAAAATTGTGGGTAGAGTTTGCCGCGGTTATATTCATGTTTTTGCGTTGAACGTTTTTGCAGATAAACAAATGGCTCTGCATTGCAGAGCTTTGTGTGTGAATGAAATTGAACATAAACTTTGATTGTTTACCAACGGTGGAAATCGCTTGACATTTTACAGTGCGCCCCAGGGAAAATCCATGTATAAATGCCACAGAGAAATTGCACCACTATACGTGCCGCAGTTAAACATTACAAGTATTGTGTTTATATAAAAATAGCTTTCACATTGTATTGAAGAAAACCCCCCAAAATGATTGCATACTAATAATCAATACATTAATTTTCATTAAATTTGTATGAACAAATGTGTGATCGAAGCATGATTCAGATGGAGATAAATTCAATATTAAATTAGAAATTTCAATAGATATGAATAAGGTAACTTTAATATATGTTATTGTTTGCCCCAGGGGTGTTTTCAATTAAGGTTTAAATATTGCCGTCATGAGAAACAAACTTTAATTAACGCGATCTGGCCAATAATTATTTGCTTGTTTTTTTTATATGAATATCCACATATTTGTTAAGCAACAATGTATTCCTATAGGATACACGTTTTATATGCTTATCGGAAATATCTGCAGCCTTACATTTAATTATAACCCCATAGTCAAGTTACACAAACCTTAAGGCGTTATAGACGGTGCTTTGGTACAGGTTGATGTACAAGTCTAATTTAAAGGTAAACAAATAATAAATTATATGTCACGTGGTAGAAAGGAAAACATTTTACTTTTGATACAATACCTTCAAAGTTAAAAAGTATCGTCATACTAGGTCAATTACTGGAAATTATAAAGTCATGGTGTAAGAGTGTGAGTCATAGAATAAAACTCATACAATGATATACTTAAGAGCATAATCGAATAGGGCTAATTTGAATGTTGTTCTTTTCCCTCTGTTGATGGGAATTCTACCGATGACCAGGCACAGGTAAAGTAATATGACTGTGGAACTTGTTTCAGGATCACAGCTTTCTGCAGCTTGTGCAGAGCACAGCGAATGGTTGCCTCATGGCATTAGCCATTGTGACCAGGCAGGTTAATATGCATTTAAGGTATTTATGTATAGGGTCTCTGATTTCAGGTGATATAATGACAAGATTGCTAGAGAGCCTTGGTAATCGTAAAGAAATCGAAATAAATCTGGGACCCTATATGTGCGCTGCTGCTATTCATTTTTAGTACATTATAACAAAGCACATGTATAACAAACGAATATGCTTCATAAACATTTGCACTGGACAGCTTTCTCGACGATGCCCAGTCCGCCAACATGCCGCTGGCTGCATGCTCATGTGAGACAAATACAGCCATTTTATTTCTGTCTGAGAAGCCATGTGATGGATGTGCTATAGCTTACAGCTCACGCCTACTGCTCATCTGTCTTGACAGAAAATTGTTTGACATCCCTGTTGTACAATTGCTGTCAGATATGAAATATTTACCAACCGCCATTGAGTACCTATAACAATTTACTACCATATTATTTTTAAAGGAGGATTTTAATAAAAATAACAATTTTGACTATATTTCATGGAAAATTACGTTTGCAAGAATGATGATGTCCATGTCGCACATCAATTCTTCATAAACATGGTGAATGGCTCACATGGATTTGTGCACATCACTGGATCAATTCCAATAATCATTGATAATGACACGGATAGAAAACACTAAATCTGTTCTTAAGACTTGGTGTAATTGGCTTTAATGCTACGATATGCATTCAGTTAGCTGCTTTGGATGGCACATGCATGTTAAAACAATTGATAACCATGCTATTCAAGCTGCTAACAAATCTCACCACGTTGATCACTGCATGCCTCGAGTTTTGTGCATATTTGGCACGCCTTTCCCTGTTCGTCATTGTGAATATTCGTGTGTATATATTTAGTGTGTATTATGTAAACATGTACAACCACATAAGCCTTTTTACCACACTTTCCATATGCCTTTATGTGGACATCTGTAAAAAGATTTCCATAGCTCATTGGGTTATTACAGCTTAAAGAAAACATTTAAAAAATGTATGTGTAGTCCTATTTATACACATCCTGTTATGTAAACATTTATACTCATTAGGTTTTGTGTGAATATCTTCTGAAATGCCTGCATGGCTATGCTGGTTCCATTATTATTTGTCAGCCTGCTCCTTCTTGATGCAGGGGCATTCCTTCTCTCATAAACGTTTTAGCGATGGGCTTCGCCAAGGTTCCATTGTTGAGCCACTCAATGTTTTCTTCTTTCACTTTGCCAAAACAAATCCGAGTTCAACGTTGACAACCATCTCCATGCTAATGACATCATCTATATGTTGCCATTGATTTAGTTGATCCTGCTTTGCTAGCAGGGCTTTCACCCTGCACCAACCTCGCCTCAACCTCATCGCTTCATGTTTTCTCCAGTGTAATGTCCAGAAATTGTTCCTTCTTGATTTAAGTTATGGACTTTCCATCTCTTCTCTGCTATTGACTATTTACTCTCTTTATAATTTCCCTACCTCTGTGCTCTTCCATCTTTATCCTAATCATCACTCCTTCCATTTCCCCCCTGGTTCTGTGCATTATCGGTGTTGTTCAATCAATCTATCATTGGAAATTACAGTAGAATTGGTCATGTTTGGGATTTCTTGTGTGGACTCTTTTGCGCTGCTGCTCAGTCTGCCCAACTTTTTAGTTTTATTATCTCGTATTTTTGTTATATGTGACGTTTTACGTTTGTATGTATGGTTGTATATGCTGGATATGTTTATATGGAACATTTTGATATGCTTTGAATAATTATCAGTAACACTGCCTTAAAAGGAAAAATAAGTAAGTGGTGATGTTTCAGGCAATGGTCCTTTAGAGCACTTAAATAGCATTCATATTTTTCCTTTTAGTACAGAGTTATGATCATTGGTTTTTTACCCTTCTATCTGGCAACAAAACTGACACATTTTTTACAAGGAGTCATGTTTACATAGACCACAATACCTGCAGTCATAATGCAAACAAAAACACAACTCTGATAATGTGCACTGTCCTTGAAGTTGATTGGTCCACACCCGAGACAGCTTTCCTTAGAGCCTAGTCTCACATGGGTTGGACCAGGTCCAACCCATGTGAGACTAGGCCAACCCATGTGAGACTAGGCTCTAAGGAAAGCTGTCTCGGGTGTGGACCAATCAACTTCAAGGACAGTGCACATTGTCAGAGTTATGTTTTTTGTTTGCATTATGACTGCAGGTATTGTGGTCTATGTAAACATGACTCCTTGTAAAAAATGTGTCAGTTTTGTTGCCAGATAGAAGGGTAAAAAAACAATGATCATATTTTTACTGGCAAATGAGGTTCCAATGGAGTACAGAGTTAGTTTTGTTAATGCAGTATCACTGCATAATTAGTTTGTCTTTTTATATGCTGTATAAATTCTGATTCTTATCCCTGTTACTTCTAGACAATTACTCCTCTGCCTTAAATTGGTGTGCCTTTGCCTTTTCATGGCATGTGTATTGTGTACCCTTTTATGACTTACATTACTTTGCATCTGTGTCGACGAGAATATGTTTAGTGTCTGCATCTGCCTCCTTGTACGCCCGAATATATAAATGAGAACAAATCATAACTGAAATGTGTTGGCTGTGCATGTCTGGGTCTGTTTATGTGTGATGGACAGGTAAAGTTAAGGAGTCAGTTGGCGAGGTCTCTATACATATTGATCTCATCACGCAAGCTGGCACCAATGACCGCAAGATTACCGTCAAAGGTATACCAGCTACCTCAAAAGTTATAATAACACTGCCTTAAAAGAAAAATATATAATAGCGTATAATATTTCATCAAAAAATTCTGAAAACAAATGAGTTTATTTAGCAATACATGTTGATTACTGAAGGGTTTGTCTGTTACTTAGGAGCTACTAATAATTAGACAACAATGCACATGGAAATAAAAAAAACTATTCATCAGGAGAAAATGTTGGTTTAAAGTTCAATCTTCAACTCTTATCTTCAATGCGTATTCATTGTATCTCTCTGGCTTCTCTATTCATTTGCAAATTAAGAAAGGCTATTGCCCAGAATGTCACCTATTAGATATTTTTCTGTTTAAGGCAGTGTTATTGACGAATATGTTGAATGTTTCGATATTTGTGCTTGTTGCACCACTGCCAAAGCAGTAACACCAAATATTATTTTCACGTAATATTACACATCTTGTTCATAATCATAATTTAAAAAAATATCCACACAAATACATTCTGGCTTTCACACTAAATGTGTATATAAGAAGGAAGAAAACGTATACGTATGTTTGGATTCTTCAAAACTTTCCAAAATGCGTTTTTCCTCGGGAGTATATGAAATCCGCTAAATGAGGTTGATGATTTGCAATTAATGAACGTGAATTATCCCTTATTGAAGAGTAATTAGTTGAGGCTGTTGAGCAGATCTCTGTTGCAAAAGAAATATATACAACCCATAAATCAGAACGACTCCCAGATGAAGAGGTGTAATCAATCAGTCTTTATTTTACGTGCCAATATCACTCAATAAATTAGACATCAGTGTACATTACAGCAGAACAGGAACGGTACAGGAGGGGGCAGGGGGCATAGAGCAACACTAATTAAAAAAGAAACCTGTCACGACTTCAGCAGCAAAGTAAATTGCAACCGCGCGCAAAATAAAGTGCAATCGTGCACAACGAATAGCATAAGAGAGGTAAGTAGTAAATAACATAAGTAAAGAAACAGTTTTGTTTCTTAAATTGTATACTTCACTGGAAGGCAAATCTGAATGTGTCCTGCACAGACCACGGAATTAAGGAACGCTCGGTGCGTTTCGGACGTCCGGTGGCAGTGTTCCAGATTTTTGTGGCTGCACTTGAGAAGGCTCGTGCCCACCAGCAATGTCACACTTGAAGAAGTCAACTCTGCCCTTCGCAGTGTGAAAAAGGGTACAGCTCCTGGACGAGATATAATGCCACAGCTGTGGACATCAAAGAAAATGCGACCAACTGATGAAACACAATTACAATCGTTCACGAAATGTTTATGGAGAATTTAATTACCGCAATTACGGAATAGTGCCCCAATAATTATATTCAACAAGGAGATAAAAACAAACTTGAAGAACTACAGACTCTTTTCGCATATTTATACAAATTGTTCATGAATTCCATTTGGCTGTTGCAGCTAATTCCACTCCCGGCTTAGCCATGAGATGCGAATGCATACACTTGTTAAAAACCTTAAGCCAATAATTTAGGAAAGCGAGGTGGTACAGTCTCTAAAAAAAACCCTTGGCACAACACCACAATTCTCTCAGTGTTTCCAACAGTCAAATCAAAATGAAATAATACACAGTTAAAGACTGACATCCCTATCTCAATCCTCTCCCCTCTCATCAAGATCTTTGAGAAGATCCTAAATTTCAAACTTTCTTCTCAGAATATGCCCTATGCCATCCTAAGAAATCTGGCTTTCGAGAAAAATATAACACAGCCTCTCTGGTACACAATACGCCTGACTGCATCTTCAAATCTTGAATCTCGTCACCATTGTGCATTCATATTCCTCGACCTGTCTAAAGCATTTGACACTGTGGATCATGCTGTAGTGTTGCAAAGGCTAAAATTCCAAAATATTTTGGACTGTTAGTCAACTGGATTTGCAACTAATTATTTTACCGATTTCAAATTGTCTCCATAAATAATAGATCATCTAACAGGACCCCCATTACTAAGGAAGTTTCTCAGGGCTCTGTGCTTGGCCCCAAGGTCAACCATCTAGGCATCTCTAATGTGCACTCTGACATTAACCTGTTTGCTCATGACAACCCTGATGGCCTCTAAAAATCCATGTAGGAGTTACAGCAACTTCTAGAACAGGACGTTGATAATCTTCAACTTAATATCCTAAAACTTGTCCTCAATGATAAAAAAATACAGAAGTTATGTTAGTCTCCAGCTGCCCCAAACCTGTCTCGCCACCTATGCATATTTGGGTCTGGACTTGCACCTCACTGAGCAGGTGGACAATTTGAAATGTCTAATTATTGTCCTGGACTAAATTTTGTCTTTCAAGGCCTGCATTGACCACCTGGCCAACAAGATAAAATGCAAAATTGGATTCCTATATAGAAACAAGCGCTGTATTCCACCTCGACTTGGTCTGGATATTTAATGTCACCATCCGGCCCATATTTTATGATTCTGATACCATCTACTACCTAGTTTATGAATCTACTTTAAAACATTGAATGCCATTATATGACTCGACACTCCATTTCCCCCCTGACACCCCTATAGAAATCATCATTGCAAGCTGTATATTAACTCAAATTTGCCCCCCCCCCCCCCCCCCAATCAGAATCTTCTTAAATAAATCCTCCAATTACCTAAAGGAGCAGTCAATTCCTCTAACTCCCTCCAGTAGCTTCAGAAGTGCATCCTCATTCCTACAAAAATACATCCAATTGCTAAACTTTATTTTGGTAAAATTATTTCCATTTTGCTTCTCCACGCGACTGGAATACCCTTGCTTCTCATCTACAGCTTGGTTTCCTTCTCTCTATTTCCCGAGTAAACCAAAACACAGAGCATACTTTTACCTGGTGCCTCTTGATTTCATAATATTTGCACTGTCTATTGATTGATGTGTGTTTTATTTACAACCGTTAAATACCTCGTTTATTCGTTATGCAATATTCCTAATTATCTGTAATATTGATGTGTTTGTCTATGTTTTACTGTTATTGCTGTGCTCACACACCACGGATCTCCCTTGTAAAATAGCTGGGAAACTGACAATGGGATCATCCGTGTAACAAATAAAATACATGTAAACTTAATGTATTACGTCGAGACTTATTCTTGGTTCTTTCGGTAAAGTCATGTAGATAGAAAATAATAATAATAATTTTCTAAATTTCTATTAAAATAAATTGAAAATAATAAAAGCAAAAAAAATACGATAAAAATAGTTAAATAAAATTAAAATAAATTGAAAATAATAAATATTATTTATGAAGGTATTGGCCACATTTTTTTTTACTATTTTTATTGTAGTTTTTATCGTGGTTTATTGCTTTTATTATTTTCAATTTATTTTTAATTCACATTTTCTTTTTTTTCTTATCTATCTACGTGACTTTACCGAAAGAACAAATAATATGAATTCCTGCAGTCACGAAAGTTTTAAGTCAAAATTTAAGTCAAGACTTGTTTTTCTGCGGTAATGTGGAATTCTCACCACTGGATTACGACCTAAACATGATCCAACACTCATCTGAGTACAGAGGCAAATTTTTACTGTATCAATAAAGTCCAATCTCCATAGAGTAACTGTCAATAAGCTTTATTTTTTTTACACACGATCTTTGCGTCAAGGTGAAAAACCACCATTCCTTTTAAAATACAAAAAACATACCCCGTGGTATACATCACTCCCAGCAGCTAGCAAATGTGTTTTTCAATTTCCGGGTTATATACTCAGAAATGCATAGTATTCCACACCAGGGATATTATTTATGAAGCTTTTTTTCACCACCTGCCACCCTTCTCTCACATAGAATAACTGACTAAAGAAAGTTATGCAATGCATACGAGTCCACGGGGGAGCACAATGCCACCGGCCAAATAAAATCTGACTCTCATGAGCATTAGTGCATTGTGCTTGCCATTAGCACGTGGCCCCGTGTGAGGGGGCATGCACAATGTCACATTTAATCAGGGTCTCCTAGTTTTTACAAAAAATGCATAAACCCTACAGGCCCTCCTCAATGAGACAATGTCACACATTTTGGTATGAGTTAAGTTGAATATACTATTGTGCAACCATTTCATATTAATCACAAGGATTTACCTTGGAAAGTCTCACTGAATCTCCACTCTTTTTCAGGGGAGTACTGCATTGAAATATGTGGCCAATACCTTCATAAATGATACCTCAATCATTATTCTATTCACAAAGGGTGACAAAACTGACTTGAAGAACCACAATCACTCTTCTTATCACACGTATATATATTGTTCACAAAGATCATCGGAAACAGAATGTTGAACAAATTAGAGGCCATCCAAGCACAGGGCAAGCAGGGTTTAGGAAAGGGTTTTCCACATCAACCACATGCACATACTATTCATGCTGGCGATGAATGTCAACTGCCATTCATCGCCTGTATACATTTGACTATATTCAAAATTGTTGCAGTCATCCAAGCTTTTATAGTCTGTGGCCTAAATAAATACAAATGTTTATAATATAATCTATATACAACAACAGCCACGAAAAAGTTTGTATGAAGAATTTTAAAAATACAAATTCAAAGGGGAGTCAAACAAGATGTCACACTTTCACCAACGTTATTCACCGAACATTTTGAAGATAGTTTCTGAAAATTGTACAGGTGAAATAAAGACATGAATATTCACGGAGAACCATCTGAGATGTTGATAACATAGTGATTAAAACGTCCATTGGGCACGAACTGCAGGAAATAGTATACGAATATGAAGGAGAATATAAGATTACTAAATAATTGGAGCATCGTGAAAGGTGGTGGAAGCTTGGGGTTGCCTTCATCAAGCAGTGCATTGACCATGGCTGATGATTATGATGACCATTAATAAGGGTTTGGCATGCGGAAAGAAATCAGAGTACCCAGAGAACCCACACATACGAGTGGATGACATTCAGGACTGCCATCTCCTGCCCACCTCACTGCCCCACACCTACAATACCTCACAAGCCTTGGTGGTCATCCATTCAAGTACTTACAGGCTTAATTCCGCTTTGCAACTGAAGTCCGTGAGATCAGGCACATTTTGCGTTTGTAACAGCAAACCCTTGTTAATTCGACACATATGGGGCTCTGGCCTTGCCGAATGATCAATATTCCGAATTATGCCCCAATAAAATAAAATAAAAATCCAAATCTGTTTTCCAAACACTTCACACATCATACACATTGACACACCTGCATAAATTGTATCCAAAACTTGGAATTTGTCTCGCAGACTAAGGAATGTATACTACTTGATGTAGGTGACCATTCCGTATGGCAATGCGGCTCATGGCGAATTACTAATAATGTACATATGCCGAAAGCGCAGCCGTGTCGAATGATCCCAAATTACGAATTATCAAATACCGAAATAACGAGGTTTTACTATATTATTATGACATAATTGCACAATGGTACAATAATCTTGGCTTACACCAGCATGCGTGGTAATGTCTCAATGGGGAGGGCCTGTAGGGTTATGGAATGTGTTTTGTTAAAGCAGGAGACTGATTAAATATGACACTGTGCATGCCCTATTCCCACATGGGGCTTTGTGCTGATAGCAGGCGCAAGCATGAGTGCTCACAACAGCCTGGTTGTCTTGGCTTACCAAACTCAATCTCTTTGTAACCCACAAACTCTCCTATTCATCCCTAACTTTTTATGACCCACCAGCCCCAAATAACCTCATGATCCACCAACGCCCTATATATTTGTGTGATCCAGCAACCCTTGCCTCAAAGTTGATGGATTCCAGTTGTGCACCAATATTAATGTTGTGTACACAATACACCAAATACCCATTTAAGACTTTAAGGAAACGATACCCATTCATCACACATGTACGTGTACATGTGTGTAGTGTACATGTGTGTAGTGTACATGTGTGCATGTGTAGTGTACATGTGTAGTGTACATGTGTAGTGTACACTGGGATTATTCCATTTGAACCTCATTTGCCAGTAAAAAATATGATAATTGTTTTTTTGCCGTTTTATTTGGCAACAAAACTAACACCTTTGGCGTCATCTGGTCCAACACCATGTGAGACTAGGCTCTCAAGGAAAGCTGTCTCGGGTGTGGACCAATCAACTTCAAGGACAGTGCACACATTATCAGAGTTATGTTTTTTGTTTGCATTATGGCTGCAGGTATTGTGGTCTATGCTAACATGACTCCTTGTAAAAAAGGTGTCAGTTTTGTTGCCAGATAAAAGGCTAAAAAAACAATTATCACTGGAATTATTCATCGCAATCATCACCCGCTGCTGGCAGCCTGTAATGCTGGATTGCTGGCCAGGTGTTCAGTGACCTTGTGCCCACATAAACAGCTCCCACTGGGAGTGCCCTTTCAAGCGTGTTGAAATGAGATGCGTTGTAAAGCATTCTGAGACGCCCTGGCATATCGAGCACTTTCATAGAAACAAATCATCATAATTATTACTATATGTAGTGTGTCTGTGTGTAGTCTCTGTGAAGAGTCCTATGCACAAAGCCATGACATTTCACATACTTTTTTAGTACAGTATAATCTGGTTATAAGAACACCCCTTGGGAGTAAAGCTTGGTGTGCTCAAATCCGACATGTGCTTGGATCAGAAGTTGCCTTTCCCCACGAGTAAGCATGTGTTGCTTATATCAGAACTGATCTCATATAAGGTGTGAATCGAAAGTACTTGTAGTTTCTACTCTATATATTGTACATACAGTGTGCGCTGTGAATATTTGGGAATTATTTAAATATTTTCACCAAGTGAACAAAACTTTTTTTTAATAAGTTAATGTAAGGCATGCAGACGATAGCAATTCGTATGCGTACATTTTACTTTTGAACACTTCCATTGTATTCTTTGGGTCTTTCGGTAAAGTCACGTAGATAGGTTCAAAGAAAATAACAAAAAAACTATGTTTTGTGATCGAAACGTAGTTTTTTGTTATTTTCTTTGAATCTATTTACGTGACTTTACCGAAAGACCCAAAGAACATGAATTCCTGCAGTCACGAAAGCTTTAAGTCACTGTTCCATTGTGTTGTGGCCTTCCCTCGCAGTAAATGGTGTCAACAATCTCAAGTGGAAGACAACGAGCGTGTTCCGCCCGTTTGTGGAAGTGAACGTCATAGGCCCGCAGCTGAGTGATAAGAAGCGCAAATATGCTACAAAGTCTAAAAACAACACGTGGTCTCCAAAGTTTGAGGAAACCTTCAATTTGTAAGTATATCTACATGTTCTGTCGAAAGTTCTCATTTTATTTGACCACTCATTTTCTTCAAATGTGAAAAGGGACGGAATCCCATGCTCGACAAAGGCAGGTTTCGCCAATATTATTTGTTTAAAAATGAAAAGGGTTGTATTTGTTTTCTTAGTTGTCCATTTACGTATGAATCTATAAATATAAACTAGGAATGGGAGGGAACTGAGTTCCCATATTTGAATTCGATTAAGTTTCAGCACTTGTATGGCATTTCAAAATGAATGAATCTCCGGGCCGAATCAAAGCTGAATTTCCTCAGCGAGCGCCTGTATCGTGGCGTGCCACATGCACCCCATGGTTGCTGTGTGACGCCAGGACACAGGTGAGGTGAGTACTTTGTTCATTATACATTTTAAATGTTAAGTAGCTTGTAATAACCAATAAATTAATATGGCAATTTGAATTATCATCAGGCTCCATGGTATAAAGTTCAATGGCCTCTCTACTACGTATGTGCTATGAAGAAAGGCCACATCCGGAAATGTCGCCTGTTATATAATTTTATTTTGAAGGCCACAGTGTTATTGAGGAATGTGGAGCTTTTGTTATTTGTCCTTGTGTGCCACTGCCAAGACAGTATAAACAAATAATTTGAAATGTATAATGTATCTTGAACAATATACTATTAAGTTATGTAGTGTATGATGTGTTTTTATTCACCACAATACGGTTTTGTAGCATAAGAATTTGAAAGCATTAGAATATGGTATGTGGTGTATGTTATTAAATGCTCCAGATAATGCATTTTAAATGCATTTGAATGTGTTATGTCGAGAATAATGTATTTAAAATCCACTAGATTATATTTTGTAGTGTGACATTTGTTATGCACTAGAATTATGTTATTCAGTCTATAAACAGTTTTAAATGAATTATAATGTAGCAATGTAGTCTACGATGTAGTTTAATGCACGGGGATGTAAGTAGTGTATAGTTTTTAAATGCTCTGAAATATCTGAAGACAAAGTACAACACATGGATCAGAGGACATATGCAAGCTAATGCCATTGATTGGTGAGAAAAGTACGTGGACATGCAGAGAACATGTCTGCTAAAATAAATGATAGCTGATAGTCGAGATTAAAGACGTGGCAGCCAAAGGAGAGAACGCATTGGAGAGGATGTTGACAGTGGTGATCGAGAGATGAGATCAGCTCGTATGCAGCTGGGCTAGATCGATTGTTGGGGAGGCTTTCATCCAGAAGTGGATAGATCATGACGCCTACCTAAAACCTGATTTCCACCACCATCCATCCCAGAAGAATTCCCTCATCAAAACGCTACACCATAGAGCTCAATGTATCTCCGACCATGAACACCTAACCAGTGAACTCAAACACGTACACCAAGCTCTCATGGCGAATGGATATTCTGACTATACAATCCGCAAAGCCATCACCCCAACCGTGAGGGAGGAGCCATCTGAGGATCCAATCAAAACCATCATCCTGCCATACACATAGCAAGGGTAACCAAAATATTTCCAAAATCATGAACAAACACAAGATCCAAGTCCGATTTAACATAGTACATACAATTCGTGATTTGGTCCCATCTTTGAAGGACAAGATTCCTGACATGTAATATCCCGGTGTCTACAAACTAAGCTGTGTCTACGGCAGCGGTTACATTAGGGAAACTAAGCGACATGTCTCTAACCGTGTTCGTGAGCATAAGGCAGATTTGAAACATGGTAGGACTAATACTTTTGCAGTGGCTGATCATTATTTTAATGCACCTGGCCCACACGAAATTGATTGGTACTTTGCAAGCCTACTGGCTATCAACAAAGATTAATTCATGAAGCCATCCATATATACAGACACAGACACATTTTCAACCGAGAGGAAAGGAAGGTTATAGACTCAGCATTCATTGGAAAGATGTCATCAACCACTTTGGGTCATGACTTACTTGTATTTTCTTGTCAATCAACCTCCACATCAGCAGTATGGTTTGTAGAGCAGGGTGCAGTGCTGCTGCATTGGCAGTGTTGCTGCATTGGCATTGCTGGTGCATTGGCATTGCTGCTGCATTGGCATTGCTGGTGCATTGGCATTGCTGCTGAATTGGCATTGTTGCTGCATTGGCATTGCTGCTGCATTGGCAGTGTTGCTGCATTGGCATTGCTGCTGCATTGGCATTGTTGCTGCATTGGCATTGCTGCTGCACTGGCATTGCTGCTGCATTGGCATTGCTGCTACATTGGCATTGCTGCTGCACTGGTATTGTTGCTGCTTTGGCATTGCTGCTGCATTGGCATTGCTGCCCCGCCCATGCTGCTGGTGCTGCTGACACACTTGGGCTACGCCCATCTCCAAACCTTTATAAACAGTTTGCCTTTAGAGGCTAACCCCTTATCCTGACGACGGCCGCTTGTGTTGCGATCGAAACGTCGTGATATTTGTATTCACTTTATTTTTATTGTTATTTTTTCTATCTACGTGATTTTACCCAAAGAACCAAATAATATTAATTCCTACAGTCACGAAAGTTTTAAGTCAAAATTCAAGTAATAAAGTTTCCGATTTGGTTTCGGCTCAGCTGAATTTCGGATTTAACTCGATTGGGATCTGATTGGTTCATCCAATTCCCGGTAGCAACTTCCTTTCCCCAGAAACATGAATCGGGCTCATCATTTTTTTTTCGTTTTTTGTCGTTCTTATGTTCTGCTCTGTCTGTGTGTCTCCGTTACTTTTGTTTTATGTTTTGTCTTTCTTTGGAATTTTCACACTTAAATTCTAACTTAGCAATCTTTGAAATACGTAATCGACCAGGCTATGCGTTAATTGTGTGTTGACCGACTCTCTGTGTTGTATTACATAACATTTCGATATTTTGCTAGGTTATTTAATTTAGTGTGTTCTTTCTCCCTCTCTCCTAATGTTCAAACTTGCTTACTTTATTACGCGTTTTCCGCACTCATTGACATGTAAATTTTTACGCGTTTTCCGCACTCATTGACATGTTAATTTTTTACGCGTTTTCCGCACTCATTGACATGTTAATTTTGTCTCTAACCCCTCCATCTCTCTGCCCCCGCCCCCTCTGCCTATTTAAGGCCACTCCACAGAGACGATCTCCCTCTCTGTGCCTGTGTTACTCTCTCTCTCTGTGTATCTTGGTGATATCTGTCTGCTTATATGTCTGTCTATAGTTTTTCTGGTTAGAATTTTTTGTTGCTATTTCATTTATACCTGATGATGATTGCTTGTGTTGCAATCAAAACGTCGTGATTTTTATTTTATTTTACTTTTATTAATTTTAATAAAAAATTTTACCTACGTGGCTTTACCGAAAAAACCTAAGCATATGAATCCTTGCAGTCACGAAAGCTTCAAATCTAGAATTAGACTCTTAAACAGGCCGTTGAGAAAGAGTCGAGGCAGACACAGAATAAGTCGTATTATTCGCGACCCCGATGGCATCGGATTCCTCCAATCTGATAAAGATTCTGATGTTGATGGGGAATTGGCGAGTGAAAACAGCCTTAATTTCAATGCCCTGGTTCCAAACTTTATCCTCATTCCACAGACAGCAAAGGCAGGGGAAACTCTAAATATGGAATTGCCCACTCGGTTTGGGCAGGGTGAACTCACGTGTAAAAGCCAGGGAGAGTGTAAGTGTTGCTTTGTCCAACAGTCTCATGTCCAAAAAGGAGAGGCTTATTTCTCAGGTGAATTTTTTTGGAATATATATTTTTGAGTATATTGGATAAAAAACTTGAGCTCCTGTTCGGAGTAAGAGGCAGTGCCCAGATTTATGTGTCTGCAAGAAAAAAAAAATCTCGTTTCTTTGATGTGTTTAGTTGAAAGATTTGCTGTTATTTGATGATGACAAAAAGGGTGGAATAAAACCTAAACACATACTAATGATTGCAGTGAGACTCGGATTCTCCTTATAAATATCTTATTCGGAATAATATTAAGCACTGTATTCTCCATCATGCAGTACTCCATTGAAATTTCATCATTATACTGTACTTTCAATTATATTTCATTTTTAATTTTGGTCTTAGCTGTTGCAAGTACACATACAATGTTGCTGAGAATATATTTGGGAAAGCTTGTCATCTCACCGACTCTCCACTTAATAAGTGTTTGGGTACTTTCTTCATGTATTCTTAATGTAGTTATTCCAATGAGCAAGGTCGGCTACGTACGGTGCGAAAGAAGCTCAACATACATTTTGTGAATTTATTTTATTTTTATATGTTTTATTCATGCCTGCATTTGTAAGAGATTGAATGACCATCTATTCTAATGAGTCGGATGCTTTTTTCATTGTATATAAAGTCTTGGTACAATGGCAGTTGAAATGTATAAGTATTTTTACGAATCTGATTGATAGTATGTCCATGTGGTCGATTATAGAATCCTTCCTAAATCTGCTTTTTGGTATGGTTAGTTGGCCTCTATTAGTGAATTATATTGTTTCCAGTGATGTCAGTGAACAATTAAAGAGGATAATAGGTCATGTGGTTCTTCAAGTTTGTTTTATCTCCCTTTATAAAATAAAACAATGATTGGCGCTTCATTCTGTAATTGCGGTAATTGATTTATGTATGAATAATTATGAAAAAGTCCGTTAATTGCGTGCCAGAAATGAGTCCTGTTTATTTTAAGAAGTCCAGAGTTATAACCATCTGGTTCCCGGAGCGTTCCCGTTTTTTATAAAGCAGTGTTAATGATTAATGCTGGATTCTTTTTGACTACAGGTGGCTGCCCATATTAAAATTCAGAATCTCAACAGCTTCAGCTTTGTACTCCGACACAGTATGAGCCTATTCTGCCCAACTGGCCAGGCGCAGCAGTACTTTAGTAATTCAGCCTCGTAACCTTTAAATGCACGTTAGAATCGGTGAATAGGTTTTTTTTTAACGTGTTTTTAAGCATCTGTGTTTAGGTTGTGGTATCCCATCATCGACAGCCTGGACTTCCGTACAACTATGGAAATGATGACCAACAAATGTGTTATGAGTTAATTTTGGTCAAACGCACGCAGAACATAAATAACGTTTGGAAAAAAAGCAAAGGAAAATCTGCAATGCCCAGCACAGCTGGAAGAGTCAGCGATGGTCTAAACGTGTGGATTTTTCAGCAATTTAGAATAAATCTGAAAAAAAATTCATACGTCAGGAGTGCAATGCACAATATAATATGGTGTTAACCTTCTTGGTTCTTTCGGTAAAGTCACGTAGAAAGGAAGTAATAAAATAATACAAAATAAAATATAATAAAATTATTCTCACGACGTTTCGGCCACAACGCAAGCAGCCGTCCTCAGGTGAAAACCAGGTCCGTCGAGGACGGCTGCTTGCGTTGTGGCCGAAACGTCGTGAGAATAATTTTATTATGTTTTATTTTTATTATTTTATTACTTCCTTTCTACGTGACTTTACCGAAAGAACCAAGAAGATGAATCCCTGCAGTCACGAAAGCTTTAAATCAAAAATGGTGTTAACCGTCATATCTTTCCTTGATTTTTATTAGTTTATCGCTGCTCATTGTGTATTTCAGTTCATTGATGTATACGTGCAAGTGCACGTACACATGCATTAACAATTCATATCTTCGTGTGCAGCTCCCTGGGAAGTTCATCCGGATTCGAGTTCTATGAGCTGCAGCTGCTCGTCAAAGACTACTGCTTTGCACGTGACGACCGGGTCATTGGACTGAGTGTCCTGCAGCTGCGCGAGATCCAAGAGAAGGGCAGCTGCACGTGCTGCTGCCCCCTGCGTAAGTCGGTCAATATGGATGAAACGGGACTCACCATTCTACGGATCCTCTCTCAGCGCACGAGCGACGAGGTTGCCAAGGAGTTTGTTCGGCTCAAATCTGATGTCCGGTCCACGGAAGAAGAGAGCTGATAATTTCCATAACTACGCTACTTTTGTCTTCCTGCCATGCCCTGCTGGTGTAAAATATTGCACAGATTGGTTTGTTTATGGACATAAATTCCATTTTCTGGATTCCACATATAATGAGGTTACTGTGTTTGTATATTCATCGTTCAGTGCCAATATATTCTTTTTTAGCATCATGTATTGTTACACTTTATTGTTATCTTAAGCATTTCAATACATATTTGTTCACACGCATGGACTGTTTAAATGGTTTGTTTGCTGTGTACTTGAAACATTTCTTGTCGTCATGTGTACAAACTTATCCTGAAAATTCCAGGAACTATCATACGATCTATTCTATCCGAGTTGTGTTTTGTCAATGCTGTCTGTAAATATGCTAGTCCAGTTACCTTCCAAAATGAAAATCACTGTGATTCAATAATGAGGAAAGATGATAAATGGAAGTTACAAATCTATTTATCACCACCAAAGTGATAAGATGTGTAAAGTGATGTAGATAGTTGCAAAAGGTTTATGTTGCACTGTCCTTGGTCAAAATTGTGCTTTCACTGGCTTGCATCAAATGTATCTGCCTTATTCTACGACCAATTACGACGTTCACACATGATATGTGCTTATCATTCTCTTTTTTCAATACGTAACATTTTTTTTAGGGAATGTATGAGCACTTTGAAAGCAGGAGACAGCATCTTAGTTAAATTGCAACCTGATTCATGCCAGGTCGTGTTACTTTTGTTGATAAAAAAAGGTCATCTGCAACAATCAATAGCAATAAATTGGTTTGACTTTCACCAAATCAATACATTACCACTTTACGTTTAATAAAACATGAAAGTATTAATGCAACACAACAATTATGGGTGCACATTTGGCTTGGACTTGAACCCAATTGGATTTTGTGGCAAAAGAAATCCATGGAACATAAAACATGTTTGATAGATTAAGAACGGTGAAAACACCATCTCCCTGGAGAGAGGCGAAGGGGCAGGACAGAGCCTTGCTTCACACGTGAAGGACCGTGGTTGTGTTCTTAGCTTTGGGGAATTATGTGTCTTTTTGTGGGTAAAATACTTTGAATTTCTAATAGATAATGGGTTAATGAGTATAATTTTTTAGAGTTTTTTTTATGTAAGAAACCTATATTGACCCCCGTTAGGTGGAAATCAACGTGTTATTCATGTGCAGACCAAGACGTCTTCGTAACCAGCCAATAATACATTTGTTCTTCGTTAAAACTCGATTCTTGTGCTCGTGATGCCTGCTTTCACATTGTGCACACGAGAATTGCTTCGTTTCAATCCGATTGAAAATACCCAACGCATGTTGTGTTCATGGAGTTCATGCGACACCCTTGCAGTGGCTGGAGGTGCTGCACTGGACCACGACGTTAAACAAATTCGTTCTTGAAAATAATCGCAAACCTGACTTGTGTGCTCTCAACCCTTGTTCAGTCACGAACAACCTAATTCATGCCAGGGTCATATTACATTTTTGAGACATGATCTTGAACAATCAATAGTAGTAAATAGGATTACAATTTTGTGATATATTAAATAATTGCAGTTTGGTGTCAATCGTGTGATAGGAATAGATATTGTTCCTGGCTTGGTTACGCTGTTTTAATTTGATTAAAGTTACTGAAAAATCTTATTTGACTAAAAAATAATAATAAGATAAACAGTTTACTAAACAACGGCAGGAAAGTAGTGGCTCATACTTTTCCTTTGTTAGGCAACATTTTTGTAATGTGAATTGTGATATAATTGACGTTTTATCTCAATCAACATAAACATCTGTGAAGTATTCATAGAACCTGGATCACATTGGATCGACGCAGGGATACATGGTGGGTATAATGAAACTCGAATTATGGACACCTAGTAATAATTAGCATTGTACAATGTCCAATTATTTAATGACCGTTAATCGCATGAAAAACGTGGTAAAGAAACGGTTACCAGTTTGCCGCACATATTTAAAAAAGGTCTAGCAATAACCCCGATAACAGTTAACCGAGAAACGAAGGTTACTGACATGTTATAGCCAACTGATTCAATCTCCGGGCACGGCAGCTGAAACAAGGGCCAAGTTTCTTAAATCCCCTACCACTGCACCCAATGTGGTATAAACACCATCAATCAACGGATTCTGTGTGGTGGGGTAAAGTGTTGGTAACTCCCACCTTTTCCAACGCGTGCGGTCAGCCGGGAAGAGTGGTACAAATACCCTCTAGAGCTGACTGGATTGGAGGCCTTCCTGCCAGCATTGACGTGGGCAAACATTACTGGGCTGCAACATACCACGCAGAAACTTGGACCTGCCGCTGGTGCCTCGATATGGCTGCCACGAACCAATCACAGTCACACGCGCCGTGCAATTTAAATAATCGCACGTGCCAATTTAGACATTACTAAAATTCCACTGGATTAGAGTAATGATTCCTGACTTCATCAATTAATAACAGTAATGTTATTGGCAGTTATAATACAAACATCACCATGATAATGTTTTCGAAGTTTTGACCCTGACGATTTAGATCCTCAACAATTAAAACTTCTGTAAATATTGTTGTGAAGATTGCTGTTTTTTTAGGCACAGTAATTTAATTGTTTTTTTCCACTGGTTATGTGGTTGATTATAAATTGGAGGACATATTTAGTTAAATGTGAATTAATTTAAATGTTTGAAGTTAGGAGTTGTATAAACGGTCAGTGTTTTTTTAAGTTATATGATTTTGTAAGGCTTTTAGTGATTTGAGAAAAACGTTACATTTTTTATACGTATGATAATAACGAACAGTATTAAAGTCTACATTTCCATTCATCACATCTGTGAATCGATAAAAAAAATGTATTTGGCTAAATGCCGTTTTGTGAAAAAATGTAAACTTTAGAGGAAAAATCAAAGTCCCACTGTTGCAGAATGAGCAATGTTGCACCATTAATGTATATTGATGGTCTTGCACCAGCAGTGGAAATTGTTGTGGCAGGGTCTAGACCCCTAGAACGACCAAAGTGGTACTACTATTGAACGTGAATGGATGATATGCTGAACTGACCCCTGCAGAGATTTCAACTCAATGTATGCTATGATGAAGAACAAACATCATTTGGCTCGATATCTTCCAATTGAGCCAAGTGATCTAACCAAGGCAGCTGCCACTAAAGTCGATCACTGTTTTTCAAGTGTTCAAAACAATCACCTTCTTGTGTTACATTATTTTGTACATACGATAGCGAGTGAAACGCCTATTGGTTGGGATGCTCAGTGCACAATGGTTTGATTCTGAAAGCTGTATGGTAATTGAGAGAATTACTAAAGCACATCCATCATCTGCTGTGTAGAATACAGTTAAGATCCTGTGACATTATTTGCAATAAAAGGTCACTGTGTTAGTGTAATAGCGATTATTTTACATTTCAAACCGTCTTCAAAGTATTTGATAGTGCTCATTTTTTGGCGGCCCTGACCTAATAGATGAAATTCCATATTCCTATGTTGGCGCAGTCTACTTATAACACAACCATTGCAAATAAATACCTAAAAAAAGTACTCCAGTATGCAAGTACAGACATCAAGGTTTTCTGAGAAAAAATAAAGGTCAATAGTTCCTTGCCAGGTTTCCCAAAGGAAGTTGTGTTTGTAAAATGTAGAGTATCTGAGAAATATTGGCACACATTTTCTGTTATTAGACCGCATGCAGATGTGGCTTCCAATTATGTACATTTAATTTGTAAAGCAATTTTATTATGGTTAATTGGAATGCATATACAGTACCTTCTAAGCATTTTGTATCTTTGCACGCAGCTTCTATGCATGCCATGCTGGACTGTTCGTCTTACACTCATAGTTTATTCTTGTATATGGATTTATTTAAACTGTGAGGCGATTCATTTGTTGTAACTAATGAAAATTAAGTTAATTGCACCCATCCCATGTTAACTGTTTGTGGAGCTTCAGAATTGCATTGTTACTTTATGTTGTATGTAAAAATTGTATTGTTATTAAAATATTAAATGAATGCATGTTGAATGCAAAATATGCAATGTTTTGTGGGTTAATGTTACATTTAATATCCCTGGAGATCGTATATCCATGACAATATCACTGAGGATGTTCCTGGTCTTTTCTAAGCAGCGTTGAGCATAAATGGTGCCATGGATTGGCAACCACCATGCACAACCAATGTGATGGGCAGCAATATATATTATTGTATTGTACTTCTCTGCTCCCCTTATGGACGGGAATAGATCACATGACATGAACGCATTTCAAGGAATGAAACGAGGAATGGTATGAAAAAAATTGGCCAGAATAAAAAAAAAACATAAAATAGTTTTTTGCTTCAATATATTCAACAACATTCTGGTGACAATTCAGAATATCACAAAATATTAGTATAAAAATTGTAGAGCCACCATCTTGTACAAGGGGAGCACGTGGAGCAGGAACCACTGACCATTTTGAGAAGTGTGACGGCATTCAGTGAACTTTTAGAAAACTAAAGTGGAAAAAACTTGCAGGGGGTGGGGGGGGGGAGTTTGCTGAGTTTGACCTCTTTAAATAATTAAAGGTGTTAAATCATATGAAAGCACAAAAATAATGTTATACATGTATTCACCTTCAGAACTTTGACCGTCTCTTCCAATGACATTTTCAGTCAATGTGTTGGCATTTTAATGGTTAACAGCACCTAATAGTACATATTTGTCAGTCTCTATGGCACTGATCATTCCACACTGGCTATAGCCAAATCATGATCCACTGTGATATATTCGTGAACGTTAGCATGATATATTGAGTTAAAACCATTATGCTGTTCTGCCAATACCTAGGGTTACAGGGTAGCTGGAGCCACCTTCCATCGCATACTGCGCCACATTTGACATGCTTCAATTCATAATTATTTGGTAAAACTGCTTTTAATGTATTGGGACTCGTGCAATTATTGAGCAGGGTTTAAATGTCTCTGATACCACGGCTTGAGTTAATATTAACTATGGCTTATAACTCCATGTACTGTAAGATATGGGTGTGCACAACTTTCAAGGATATCCTCATCATCAGAAAAGTGAATGTACCCACTCACGATCTCACACGGTTCTGCTTAATGAATGGTGTCGTCTTTTCCCACACATGGGCCCACCCTACCTGCCACAATGGTCCACAGTCTCCTCCTTCCGAGGTACTCGGCCCACCACAAGTGAGAATTTCCTCTTCCAGACCCCGAAGGGGTCTGGTGAGCTCTGCCTCCACCAACAATAACCGCCATTTGCCACTTTGCGGCAGAGGCGAGATCAGGCTATGTGAACTTTGACGCCACATGAAGTGTTTAACGCTCGCTGGCAGGTCACGGGACAAACCCAAGTGCCATGGAGTTAATTGTACTGAGATAACTGGCAAATATACCACCTGTGCCGACACCTGCCAATGAGGCGCAGCCACCTTGCAACAATGATTTCAGTTCTTATATTATTCATCAAGGACGAGTATCCTGAATAATTGATAAATATCGTAGTGGAAATTCAGCTCCTCTTCATGCTCATTAGCATGATAAAATCAGGCATTAACAACGTCATCGGGCTCTAAACAATAACACTTTTCTAAATATAAATTACAATTGTAGTAAACTTTTTATTTACCTGAGCTTCCACCAGCAGCACATTCAACCAACGCTGAACACGTGTAGACTTATACTGGTAGGAACCACCTAGTTCCACCAGCCCACGGGGGATTATTGTGGCCGTCCGTCCGTCCGTCGTGAATCAAAAAATGGGAGGGGTCGGGCTGGGTGGAGAGGGGAGGACGGGGAGGGGCTGGGTGGGAGAGGTGGGGCTGGGTGGGGAGGGGCTGGTCACCCCGTGGTGTCCTTATAAGACTCAACGTTTAACCTACTCACGCCGGCTTGTGCCCGCCCTCACAGTCGGCCATATTTGCAGAATACACCACGCCGCCGTTGACCCTGGCCATTGACCGAGCAACCCAACGTTCCTACCAGCTCCCTCCGCAGGAATGTGTTATTGTGGGGGTGAGTGTACTAATATATTTGTCAAACGCTTTGCCGATTCACCAAGCTCTCCCTGCTGATTCCAGACCCAGGGGTCGGAAACCAAAATAACAGGAAGAGAGTTTTTGTTCGAATTCGATAACCCCCCCCCCCCTCAATATTTCAAGAGCCGCAATGCCATGTGCATTCGAGACGGTGGTCCTTAATAAATACCATCAAGAAGCAGTCCTTATAGCACCGCATGCGGCTCCAGAGATCCTCGATCCTTCACTCATTTTGCTCTTCATTCGACTCAACCATCATCCCTGCAGCTGTCTTTGTTTTATTTCCATAGTTTTAGACTAAGTGCGCACTTCTCATCTATTGTATAAAATCATAGTGTAATGACGACTTGACATACTTCTCTTGAGATGGCACTTTATTGAAGACACGTTCGCTTGATATCAGACGGAGATCCCGACCGCAACAGCTCCGAGTCTCCTTTTATATCAACACGAGGCCACTGTTGCTGCTGCTCCTGCAGCTTTTGCTTCTGCCGTTCCTGTTTGGTGCTTTCCAACCTCAAACTCAGTCCAAATGGCTCACAGAATAATAGGAAATGGAGGATCATAGCTATCAATAGATATTCTCCACCCTCAACACACTTGCAAGCTGGGATAAACAAGCAGGCGACCACCAGCGTGCAGTGGCGAGTGTGCCCTGGGAAGTGACATCAAGGCACGTGGCAGGGAAGAGGTCGATGCTGTCGGCTGCCTTGGAACTGTTTTATATATTGTTATAAAAAAAATTATGGAAAAAAATCCAAAATACATACATAAAAATTGTAATGTGAAAATTATGTTAATGTATGTCATTAAGTGTGATCAACTATAAATGTGTGTTCAGTGTAATTAAGAATGTGCGTGTGAAACATGAATGAGTAAAGTGTGTATGTGATTATGTGTGTGATTATTGTGTGTGATTACGCAAGAGTGATTATGTGTGTGTGTGTTTATTATTGACTCTCTCGTTGTCTAGGGGTATGTATCATCAATCGTGATACATTAATGATTACCATTCATGATTCTTGCCTTAACAATAATGATGTGTAATTATGTCAGGTCTCGGGATTCAGATCTCACCGCAAGATTCATCACTACGACAATGATGCACGAATCTAGGAAATAAACACTCGGAACCTGTTTTTAATATAAGCAAATTTAATCTCACTTCCTCTAACATCCACCTCTGATCAACAGGAATTAATAGCAACGACAGTACCCACGTCAATATACGAACTCATCAATCCGTATGAAATGATAAAAGAAACAAGTATACACATTTATAATAGCCCAGATCTGTCGTTCTGTGACTGTGATTAACGCCCCCGGATTGGTTGAAGTGCGTCACGTGACCGCGAGCTGCCCACTTTTCGTGTTGTGGTGCGCCCCGCAGCAACATCGCTGCCACAGCGCCGGAGACGCAGCCACGGCAAGTTCACGGTCTATCCACTCACACACGGCTCACTCACACACACGGCTCACTCACACACACGGCTCACTCACACACACGGCTCACACACACACGGCTCACTCACACACACGGCTCACTCACACACACGGCTCACACACACACACGGCTCACTCACACGGCTCACTCACACACACGGCTCACTCACACACGGCTCACTCACACACACGGCTCACACACACACGGCTCACTCACACACACGGCTCACTCACACGGCTCACTCACACACAGCTCACTCGCACACACGGCTCACTCACACACACGGCTCACTCACACAGGGCTCACTCGCACACACGGCTCACTCGCACACACGGCTCACTCGCACACACGGCTCACTCACACACGGCTCACTCACACAGGGCTCACTCACACAGGGCTCACTCGCACACACGGGTCACTCGCACACACGGCTCACTCACACACGGCTCACTCACACACACGGCTCACTCACACAGGGCTCACTCATACACACGGCTCATTCACACACAGCTCACTCACACACACGGCTCACTCACACAGGGCTCACTCATACACACGGCTCACTCACACACAGCTCACTCGCACACACGGCTCACTCGCACACACGGCTCACTCGCACACACGGCTCACTCGCACACACGGCTCACTCACACACACGGCTCACTCACACACGGCTCATTCACACACAGCTCACTCACACGGCTCACTCACACACACGGCTCACTCACACACACGGCTCACACACAGCTCACTCACACACACGGCTCACTCACACACGGCTCACTCACACACACGGCTCACTCACACAGAGCTCACTCATACACACGGCTCATTCACACACAGCTCACTCACACACACGGCTCACTCATACACACGGCTCACTCACACACACAGCTCACACACAGCTCACTCACACACACGGCTCACTCACACACACGGCTCACTCACACACACGGCTCACTCACACACACGGCTCACTCACACACACGGCTCACTCACACACACGGCTCACTCGCACACACGGCTCACTCACACACACGGCTCACTCACACACACAGCTCACACACAGCTCACTCACACACACGGCTCACTCACACACACGGCTCACTCACACACACGGCTCACTCACACACGGCTCACTCACACACAGCTCACTCACACACACAGCTCACTCACACACGGCTCACTCACACACGGCTCACTCACACACACGGCTCACTCACACACACGGCTCACTCACACGGCTCACTCACACACACGGCTCACTCACACACGGCTCACTCACACACAGCTCACTCACACACACAGCTCACTCACACACGGCTCACTCACACACGGCTCACTCACACACGGCTCACTCACACACACGGCTCACTCACCACACACGGCTCACTCACACACACCTCACTCACACGGCTCACTCACACACGGCTCACTCACACACACGGCTCACTCACACAGGGCTCACTCGCACACACGGCTCACTCGCACACAGCTCACTCACACACACAGCTCACTCACACACGGCTCACTCACACAC